GCGGTTAGGACGGGCGCGCGGGCGCGGCTGGGGGGGGCGGGGGGGGGGGGGCGCGACTAGGAGGGGCGGGTAGGTCCTAGAGCGGAAGCGTGGGCAGGCGGGGTTCACCTACTGCTGACACCATTTTTGAACTGAATGAATTGATTGAGTAGAGAGAGAGTACAGGTGAATATACCTAAATGTTGTGCCCTATACAGTCTATGCAAACATAGGAGATACACATGTTTGACATGTACGCAGTGAAGTCTGATCTGATCTAAGGATCAGATTCAGAAACCTAAAAAATGTACCTAATGAGTCAAGCTTTTGTTTTTTGGTCTTACAAAACATAACATAATGTGCTAGGTTCAAATCCTACCCACCCTAAAAAATCGCCCCAAGGTTCAACCTGTCATCTTAGCTCTGAAATTTTTCAGTCCTGATTTTTCAGCCTTCGAAAATGTAGTTACATCACCTCTGTAAGGAATTAGGAATTCCTTACTGAGGCTTGCTACAGGGCGTCCGACTCGAACAGTCCCGAACCATCGCCAGGGTTCCAGACCTATCAGTTCGAGCCTCCTGGGCCTTTCCGGACCTCGCTACGACACATCGGGGCCCTTCGATACTTTTCCCGAACCTTCCGATCCTACGTCCAGGATCACCCTAGGCTTTCTATATGTTGTATTGTCTTTCATTTTATTGTCATTCACTCGTTCACAGTTTCGCCATTGCCCTCCGCGCTACTCGGCAGTCCCATTCATAACACTTGGTATTCAGAGCCACTTTCCTCACCCGCTGGGCTTCTAAGGGCAAAAAAAAATTTTGGGAGGGGGAGAAGGCGGATGGCGCTACAGAAGGCACAGCGGTTGTCCTGAAGCATGATATGATATGCTTCAACAACTGCGTCTGCGTGGGCTTCTAACGACCGACGATCCGACCCCAAGGGACGAGCAGGATTCGCTCGACCATCCCCTCGAGGGCAGTTGTGTCCGTCCTGACATGGCGAAGATTTTGAAGAGTGTTTCCGGTATGTTGATTATTTCGCATATCGTTAAAGGGGCTTCGTAAGCAATTTCGGAAAATTCGGCAAGCAGCAACGACGATTCGGATTGGTGTCCGAATGGAGCGAGGAGCTCGTCACGAGACGACAAGCTCGCGGATATCCCCAGGCGAAATGGGTTTCGTCAGGAGCGCGCGTAGCAGACGTGGCTGCATGGTGAAGTGTTGCTGACGTTACGAGGCTCGGCGTTTCCGGCAGGCGACACGCAGGTGAAGACGGGACTTCGGAACTGTTCAGCAAACGCGGCGTTGGAGTTTTCGGCACGACCAAGGATCGCACAACAGCACACGTGGGGCTCAGGCACGGAAAAGTTTCGGGGAGTACTGACCTCGAAATTTATTCGCGTGACCTGCCCGCCTGGAGGTGTAATTCGTCTGCCCTGGTGTTTCGAGCTCAGCGAGTCTGGATTCCTGCAGAGGAAGCCATTTTCGTGGTCAGAAATTATATTCCACGATCTACGGAGGACGACCAGCAACTACCCTCGGGTCGAGTTTAAGTGTCTTTCGCCGGGTCACCGCTAAAAGTCAACGACGAAGAGCTGGAGCAGAGAAGGAGAAAGACTGGGTAACAGCCAGGAAAAAATTAAGAGTCAGCGGCAAACGGATCCCCCCGACTGACTAGGCTGGGTCGCCCGATCTTCAACATCTCCACCGGGTGGTAGTCCGATACATGCTATCGACCGCGCCCGGACGAATAAAGGAGGATGAGCCAGCGGATCACCCCGTGCTGGTGGATCGAAGAAAAATTTCGGCGCTACACGACAGGTGCACGATTTGTGAAAATCGTACGCTCTACAGTGGAAGGCGCGAGAAGCAGGTTGACGAAAATAACGAAGGAGTTTTGCGACAACGATCGGACGGTACGCGGAGCTCGAGTCCGATACGAACGGCGAGGATGCGTTGCCAAGAACGATGGAGCTGCGAGTTTTTCGAAAGAACGTGCGCGTTACTGTTTGGAGAACGACGAACGTGGGCGCTGGGTGAACAGCGGCCTACGGGGGTTTTTACTCTGGAAGCAGCAGTTGAAGAAATTGCAACAGTTTGGAGCAGATTGTTGCAGGAACAGGTTTTTTCAGGAAGGGGAAGGAGAATCCCTCACGTAAGCTGCAAAGCGGTTGCCCGCGAATTAGACTGATTAATTCGCCCAACTACGATAGCGTTTGCGCTTACCTGAGTACGGGCACACGGCGGATTCACCCCTGCTCTGGAGTGTAGTCATCAAATGGAGCTTCAGGACGACAACGGTTACTGTTGCAGTGGGAAAAACGTGTTGCCGTCACGGAAAATTTGGAGTCACGCAGGAGTCTTCTAGGATTAACCCTGGGCTGCGGGACTATAATCAAAGACTTGGCTGCGAGGACTCATTCGTGGATTTACCTGGACGGGCGCAATGATGGGTGAACGTCGGCGCGTCGCTAAAACGTCGGGTATCTTCAAGTTTTCGGCTGGAGCGGTAGCTGGGGTCCCGGGTACCTACCAAGCTGTGCGAAGGTTTAAATACCAGCATGGTTAGTCGGTGAAACTGCAGAGAATGCGTTTTTCGGAGCTGAGAACTGTACCCAAGTCCTTCTGGGGTACCCGCCGTAGCCGCGCGATGGGTGAACGTCTGCACGGTGAACCGGTCATGTGGAGTTACGGAAATTTCTACATAGGGTAACAACACGAAGCAGATCGACGGCATTCTGCGGAGAAGAATATCGATCTACGGCGTCGGATGGAGCTAGAGTCTACGTAGCGCAGTTGCCCTGCGTTATAGGGTTGCGCGGAGACTGGTCCCGACGAGCAGGATTTGGAGATACGTCAAGTTTTCTGGGTGTGAAGAAACTTGAAGCTGGGTATTTTCGGCATCGACGACAGAAGATTTTCTTTTCATGGAGGGGGGAGAGAGCAGCTGCGCAGCAGTTGTTTTGTGGATTTACCCTCGACAGTTTTACATCCGCTGCATGAGCATCGACGGACAGATGCTGTTTGACCGACTGAATCGACGGACAGATTCGAGTTGGTTGTTCGGGAATTTCGCTGGTGTTCGCGAAAGGTGAAGGCGTGTTTAGACTAACTGCCTGAGGCGACATCGACTACGGTTACAGGACTGACGGGGCTTTCGTCCTTGAGCTGATGGAATTCGCAGACTTTCGTAAGATACGGACGCGTGTTCTCGCATGTGTCGCGAGTGATCTCGCATTTGACGAATAGCAGGAGTTCGTTGACTTTGCGAAATACGGACGCGTGTTTGTGCGAGTGTCACGACTCACGTGGAATTAAACGAGGAGCGATCTACAGTTACGGAGCTACGGACAAGTTTGGCGCTATGCAGAAGATTCGGCTCGCCAACTTGCAGCAGAATGAATAACGTTGTGTTACTGTGCGGATACAGTACACGACGATTGGACTTGTAATTGTCGGCGAAGGATTCGCTGGAGACAATGAAGCTGTGGTGCGGTAGTATCCCTACTGCCCGTTTGGTTATCTGGGAAATTCGACCAAGATTCGACGGCTACGATCGACCGCAATTGTTTCGACGTGTTTCGGCCGTTGGATGGAGTTTCTTGAAGAAGCTCGACATTCTCAACAGTGGTGGCTTCACTACTACGAGATTCAGTTAGAGTGTGTATAGTTATATTTATTTGTGTGCTTATCTAGAAGGGGGGAGAGTGTAAGGAATTAGGAATTCCTTACTGAGGCTTGCTACAAGGCGTCCGACTCGAACAGTCCCGAACCATCGCCAGGGTTCCAGACCTATCAGTTCGAGCCTCCTGGGCCTTTCCGGACCTCGCTACGACACATCGGGGCCCTTCGATACTTTTCCCGAACCTTCCGATCCTACGTCCAAGATCACCCTAGGCTTTCTATATATTGTATTGTCTTTCATTTTATTGTCATTCACTCGTTCACAGTTTCGCCATTGCCCTCTGCGCTACTCGGCAGTCCCATTCATAACAACCTCTTACTTGTAACTCTTGTACATATATACATTGTCAATTAAGTATCGAGCCCCAAAACCGAGCACCAGAGAGGAGCGGAATTTCTGGGCAAAATACGATCAGCCTGGTCACAAAAACAAACTGACTGGCTGCCCAAAGCGAGCTGGCGAAGAAGTATGCCAGGAGTCAGCGACAATGCAAAACGATAGGGAAACACAAAACACAGCCAATCACAGTGGGTTTCAGCTAGAAGGCAGTTGCACAAATTGCAGCTGTTTTGCTTACCCTGTCTGAGCAGGGGAGTGCTGTGGCGGTGGCAGTTCGGTACGCGAAGTTCGCGAGTATCGCAATTTAGCAGCTTGCCTATTTGCATCTTTTCCTGGGCTGTAGGTCTGGTGAAATTTCAGCCCGGGCAGCAGGTACACTTCTGGCTGCGTGGCAAGTCGCTACTAATGCCTCGAAACGAACAGAGATCCCGTCCCATGTTTCGGGAGTTCGGGAGCAGAACGACGGGAGGAGCGGAGCGGAATGTTTCAGCTACCCTTCTTCGCTACCCCGAATTTTTTGCCCGTTCCGGCTTCAGTTCAGGATAGCCATCTCCGTGAAGTCTAGTACACATGATGTCCACCGTACGCCTTGCTCGTAGCCAATCGCAATCGGTTTATCCTGCCCATTTGCTCTGTTTAACGGGCAGTATTCGTTTCGTCAGAGTCCTAAAAGTCGCCACGTGGAACGATTTTACTGAGCGCAGAACGAGGCGACCATACAGATGCATGTGCTTATTGATCAGAATTCTGACTTTTGAAATATCTTGTTACAAAATGCCCATTTGCGACCCATTTGCCCGTGGCGAAGCATACGAATAGACAAATTCGACAGTGGCCCCCACGATTCGGCGAAGTGATGGGCATTCAAAGGACATCATTTGTATCGCACTCCCTCTAAGAAGGAGCTAAGTTGCTCTCAAGGTGCAAATCTGAATTTGACGACCACTGTAGCAGTTTATTTTTCCTACCTGTAACGCGTTTTTAGTCATCATATTCCTCCTCGTTTTCTACAGCTGCAGGGGTTTTAGTTCGGAATGTAGGTTGCTGTGCATGTCGCGCTTCGGACCACCAATAACAGACTCGGTCGCAATATTCGTGGCCAGCAAACAGGGCCATAGTCCATCTAAGCCTGGATAGGTACCTGATGATACATGTAGATATTCAAGCAGTGCTTCGACTTCGCCACTTCCCGTGCTCCCGGCGCTCCCCCTAACAGCATAGAATGGCGCTGGACGTCACTTGGGGACAAGGCTGGGCTCTCGCCTCTGTAGGCGCGTTACTCATCGCCGTATACTGCTACGCCGTAGTCAAACCGACCCGACCGGGTTTCCCCAGACTAATCGCCTCAATTCCGGCTCTTTCGGCGAACGTCTTTCTGCCGTGGGTCTTCCGTCAAGAAGATCAGGTGCTTGGCGTCGTCGTTATCTACTGCATCACGGCGTGGCTCAGCTCCTTCAAGCTCCTCTGCTTCTGCTGGAATACCGGCGTTCTTTCCACCCCTTGGATCTCGTCCGACCTTTACCGGTTCGTCGCGGCTCTTTCGCTCCCGATCCACGTCCAGCCGATCACGAAAGACCGCGTCTCTGCAGAATTGACTCCTGATGTGACTAAAAAGAGCGTGGCTGAATGGATAATTGATGCCGTACAGTCGGAGACGTGGACTATGCTCTTAATCCGCAGCAGTTTCAAGCTCATGGTCTTTATTTTCCTAGTGAAGCTGATGGCTTCTCTCGACACCGTGCCGCTCTTCGTCAGGCACGTCGTCTTCGGCTGGAACCTCTTCCTCTTTGTAACCATCGTCTGCGAAACCCTCGCCGGCGTCGCAGCGGCGTTCCTGGCGATCGAGATCCGGCCTCATTTCAACCACCCGTACCTCGCCACGTCATTCCAGGAGTTCTGGTCGCGCCGCTGGAATCTCACCGTAAGCTCGTGCCTTCGCGAAACGATTTTCGAGCCCGTGAAATTCGCCGTCACGTGGTGTACGTCTCGGATGCAGAACGGTGCCTTGCAAGACGGTGCGATGCAGAACGGTGCGACGCCGAACGGTGAGACGCAGAAGGGCGGGCTACATAGTAATGTAGCTGGGCGGAACTCTCAGAGCAAGGTACAAGGCGGCGACGCTTCGGGTAAGGCAGCAGTGGAGGAGAGTAGACTACCGCAGCGGGTGGGGATGCTCGCGACGTTCTTTGTGTCCGGATTGGCTCACGAAATTGCGGTCTGGTACATAAGTAACCAGGTTACAGGCGAAATGACGCTGTTTTTCACCCTCCACGGGATAGTTTCAGTCACGGAATGCTACATCATGCGTCAGCGGTCAGGAAAGGGAGGCCGGAGCAGAAAAGAGACGCAATCTGCAGCAGCAGCACGGGGAGTTACCAGTGGAGGGCGTGAAGACGGGCCGTCTGCTTTTGAGTCGACTCGAAAGCGGGGAGTTACCAGTGGAGGTCATGGACCCGAGCAGTCTAGCAGTGCGGAGTGTGAGAGAACCCAGCGTGAATCTAGCGAAGCTGCTCTTATAAAGGAGGCGGCGAAAAGGGAACGGCTAAAGCTATGGGGGTGGAAGGATGTAGGAGCGTGTATCTTTGTTGTTGGGAGCACGGTCGTGTCGGCGCATTTCCTCTTCTTGGCCCCGCTCACCCGGCTGGGACTCAGCCAGGAGGTGACCCGGGAAGTAAGGGCGGCTCTTGGGCGCGTCTGACAGGGCGGCCAGGGAGAGTGAAATGCCATTGGGCTCACCAGGCTGAGGCTCAGCCAGGAGGTGATAAGGGAAGTAAGGGTGGCTCTTGGCCATGCCTGACGTGAGTTTTAGTTTCTGGGTCTGCTATTGAGTCGACTCAAACGGAGTGTCTGACGTGGTGTGTTGTTACTTCGAGCCATGAGGTGGTCCGGGAAGTGAGGGCTGCTCTTGGAGCAGCTTTTGCAGGGGCAGGAGCAGCTCTTGCCGGGGCAGGACCAGCCTTTGCCGGGGCAGAAGCAGCTTTTCCCACAGCGGATTCAGCAGCCGGCTCTCACCTCGTCACATGCACCTGCACAAAAAACTGTACGGACTTTTCCCACATGCTCACACCTCAAGTGACAAGGGTGCCAGAGGGGGTTCATGGGCGGATCAGGGATTCCCGAGGCCCCCAACGCCCCTTTGGAGGGAGCTTTGGTGGGTGGGAGCTCTTGGACCTTTCCTAGGCCTGCCTGCTCCAGGAAACGGAGGGTTGTGGTAGGAGAAAGGAATGAGCCGATAGGAGCCTGTCTTTTTTTGGTTGTGAATGCCGACGCTTCCATCTCAAGCTGGTAGAAAGAGTGCCACTGGATAGACTAGAATGGCAGACCTGGGAGCGCCGGTTTTCAAAGAAGCATGCTTTTACTAGTCAGACTTACTGGACATCAACAGGAAAGCAAAACTGTACCTTGTTCAAGCGGCCAGCTAACACAAATCTGCTGGCTGGGCTCAACACAACAAACAGCAGTCAACTCAAACGCAAAGTCCTACTGCTCTCTATTGAGCGAGGAGTCTTGAGGACGCTAGAGGATGGCAGTCAAGCAGTGAACTGGGGACTCTAATATGTGGCTTGCAGCAGCAGCGGTCCAGAGAGGAATCTCTGGCTACTGGGAGGCATGCTGTACTCGTTACTGCCAACTTCGTTACTCCCTGCTGCATTTCGTTCCACTGCATAACTGCTTGGCTGTCTTAGTGCACTCTCACTCAGCCTGACCTGCACGCCTCGCCTCGTCACAGTTTCAGGTACCAACAGATCGGACAAGCTCTGCCACCCATCGCAGCACTCAACCTGCAAGCCTTCCTCACAGGGACCACAGGGACCACAGGGACAGCAGCAGCACTCGTCGATCATCAGGCCATTGCACCGGCCGTACTCGGCTGTGAGGGACGGAGTGCGCTGGAGCTGGCGGGAAGCTGACGAGTTAATCCCCACCTGGCCAGGCCTTGTGAAAAACGACGCCAGCTGGCTGGTCCCCGGTTCGCCCCAGGTTATCTGGGGAGGGGGTTCCCATGATGCCCCCCCCTGCTCCCATGATGCCCCCTGCTCCCATGCTGCTCCCTGCTCCCATGATGCTTGCTCCCGTGCCCCTCGCTCCCATGCCCCTTGCTCCCAGGCACTCCCCCCAGCACCGCGTTCTTGCTGTGCGAATCCCCCCTGCCGCCCCACACCGGCGGTCCTCCTACCGGGCGGCGCGCGGTGGCGGATGCGCGTGTCCGTCATCATGAGCACCAGACCGTCCACGTCAGCCCAGCCCTCTGCTGACTCAGCATCACCACACATGAGCGGCACAGCCCGACTAGAGACAAAAGCCGCAGCGGCCGGGTGGTCAGCATCGTGGCTGATGAGCCCCCTCCTGGCCACGGCTCCCTCCCCCCTTCCCCCAGTCGGGGGAGCAGCGGCAGCAGCAGCAGCCATGGCTCTCTTGCTGCCAGAGGAAGAAGAAGTTGAGGACGATGCTGCGCGCCGCAGATTGCGCAGGTTGAAGCGGGCGAGCGCAGCCAGAACCCTGGCTTTCAGCGACGCAGTTTCTGCGGGCGCCGGCGGCGGGCCGGGAGAGGTTGTAGCAGTTGTGGCGGTGGCGGGGTTGCTGTAGCAAGCGTCGTCCTCAGCAGGGTGTTGCTCTTCGAGGGCGGCGAGCTGCAAGGGAGCAAGGGTCGAGGAGAAAGACCTCAACGAGCGATGATGGCTAACAATAACGCGTCAATTATACGTCAATCACGCATCAAATACGCGTCAATTACACGTCTCTCCACGCCATAGAGATGGTTTATTGTCGAAATTACGGGTCAAGAACTCCGACAGCAGCGATTATGATCATAGCAAGTAACGCGTCCCTACCTCAGCGAGGATAGCATTCGCCGTGGCTGGCGGCGAAGGGGCGACGTGGCTTCGCGAGGGACCCTCTACCGCTTGAAGCCCCAGCTTGGCATAGTCGCCGCTGCTGCGCCCCGTGCCGTTGTAAGTCCGCGACTTGAAGAGGACACGCGCTTCCGAGTCGGCGGGGAGCGCGTCACCCATCATCTCTGCGCAACGGCCGTCACCACTGGTGGCATCAAGCCGATCGCGTCGGCTCCATTCCGACTCGGAATCGAACGGCTCCTCATCGTCGCCGCCGCCGCCGCCGCCGGCTCGGCCCGAGCCGAAGCTGCTGCCTCGGCCCGAACCGAAGCTTCCTTGCGCGGCGAAGCAGGTCTCGAGGGTTTCCTCGCCGCTCTGCGAGCTGCTGCCGCCGGCGCAGCTCGGCGACTCGGCGGCCGACGACGATGCAATCGACCACGATGCTTGACTCGACTCAATTGTCGTCGTCGTTGTCGCAGCCGTCGTCGGGAACGTCATGTTAGCGACGCTCGCGTCTATATTGTGCCGGTAAGCCCACCCGCCGGCGGCGTCGCCTTGCGTTAGAGGAATTTCGCCGTCGCTCACGGCGGGGGGGCTCCGCGGAGGGAGACTCGCCGGCGCGCGGAACGCGGATGCGCCAGGCCAAGCCGCGGGAGACGCCGGCGTCGCGAGACGGATTAAAGCCGCTTCCTCGCGAGCGGACGCGCGCCTCGGCGCGAGGAAATAAGTTTCGCCCGGAACGAGCGAGGCGGACGGGGAAACCAGGCAATCGAGCGACGCGAGGCTCATGCTGGGGAATTCGGAGAGGACGGTTTGGGCGGCGAGCGGCTGGTCGTCCTGCGAGAATAGGCGAATCGAGCCGTCCGGGAGCACGACGATAACGGGCTCTAGTCCGTCGGAGCTCGCGACGCGGACACGAGGCTTGCTGGAAAATCTACGCGCAGGCATGGTGTTAGTAGCGAACAGTACGAGAGGTGGAAGGGTGAAACTGATAATAGAAGCTAACGCGTTGCTGTGTTCTTTCTATGTACTGAATGCGTGAGAGAACTGGAGTTGAAAACCCACCTCGAGTTGAAAGAGAATCGGCCTCAGGGTGAAAGTAATGAGACATGAGGTTGGATTTTTCTGGCCACAGATTTTCCTCAGGGACGAGGTGAGGAGAGTGTCGGGCGGGAAATGATGGGCAGTGGGCAATACGACAAATGAAGTTTGGCTGCATGTGGGGAATGGGTGCGGGGAGGGGGGGGGGCGTGTGGCGGGGGGGGGGGGGGGGGAGGAAGGGGGGGAGAGGGGGTTGATTGAGTGGGGGGAGGCAGTGGCTAGATATTTTCGCCCGCTCCCAAGTCCCAGATATTTCCGTATACACGTTTTGCAGCGTTAGAATCAGCACCAGCGTTGCCACGCTATACGTATACTTTCCCATTTTGACGAGTCACAAGTACTCACGTCTCCATTATTCAGCTGATTAATTCGTGGCAGTGTAGAGTTCCGAGGCGAATGAGGCTGTCGAGACAAAGTTGAGTTGCGAGAATCATATAATCTCGCAAAACTAGCTATCATAGACTACCTGGATACAGTTATTGCTGGTACACTTATTTCTGCTCCAAACAAACCATTGAAGACAAGGATTCACTCGAACGCCAAGTTGGACGCACAAATATTTGGTGTCCAATCACAACATCGGTGACACGCTGGAAAGGTTCTGCTAGTGCACCTTTGCTGCCCTTTTCCGTTATCGCGTGCGGTCCATTGTCTGGCCGGAGACTCCTCTTTCTTTGAGAGAAACCACGGACGGATGGAGGAAACAGCTTCATTCGAGGGCAGCCCAACAAGGAATGGTTTCCCTCTTGGTTGGGTGGTTAATGGCTTTAAAGAAGTGTAGAAGGTTTTCGTACGGTTATGATGGATCAAACTGGGGACTGTGAGAGCTATTGAGATCGGGGAAATATTTTTCCTTGGAAAAAATAATGCAGCAAGGGAAGTGCGCGGCGCGACAGCTCCACCACTACCCCACGCCAGTCTTAATCATGCCATGAATTCGTCGTTTTGCACTCTTGACAGTTGGATTGAAGAGATATTTTGACGTGGGGAAAATTCCTTCCAATCTCGGTGAATGCCAGGAAGGCATTCCAGCTTCGGTATTATCACCAATGGACCTATGTTATTACCCCAGTGAAAATCCATGATGTAGACATTTACGTTTACATCTTATTCTGTGTTACACTTTTGTTGCTGTTTAGAGAAATTACTAGATGGTGAACCACATGGATTCGGATTGATTGCACCAAAGCCAATCCACCATACATGAATTTTGCAGGAACAGCAACAAAAGCAGCCTAGACATTAGCAGACCAAGGTGTCGAGCCAAGTGTCTTGGGCACAAGAAGTGCCACTCGCCCACAACCCACCTCAGGGTCTACTCTGATGCCCAGCCATCCACTACCAAACTGGAACCTGTATAATATCCACACCATGCGCAATAATATACGGCCCAAGATACATTTTCGGTTCCACAACCTTGCTCCACATCTTGGGACCAGCAGCAGCGTGGCCGAACGCCACCATCGCCACACCTTTTGCCGTATTCTTGAAAAGAAGCTGCTGGAGCTGCGTGGCGAGGGGCTGCTGGGCGTTCATGGCCGCAAGCTGCGGCAGGCGGAGCTTCGTCGCGATAATGTGGAACGCGGTAACGTTGTAAAACTTGTCCATGTTTGAGATCTTGGCCGGGACCCTCTTGAGGAAGGCCTCGTATGCCGTGTTGCTGGGGATGAGGATGGTCGCATCAGCGAGGGCGGAGAGGTTGTACTTGGAATTCACTGCAGGTGAGAGTGAAGATGGTTGCGTCAGCCAGAGCAGAGAGGTTGTACTTGGATTTAGAGGCAGCCTGAAATTGAGTGCTTTTTTGAGTGACATCGACAGCTCGTGTGAAGCATGGAGACCATACAGGCGGGACTTCGATGTTGTTATCCACTCAGTGCCGCGTGCATTCCGCAAAGCGGCGTGAATAAGTAACTTCTGAAGCGGCTCAGAACATACAAATCACAGAGAAGAGCGACTTACAGGCGAGCCCGGTGTATTTATCGATCAGCTTCGCGTATTTGGCGTACTGCGGATACCTCTTGACTATCACCGTCACCAGGCTCTTCAGCTCCGCCTTCAGTTCCGCCTTCGTCGGCGGCGGCTTCTTCGCGCCGGCTGCGCTGATCGCTGGGGAGTGCTGCTCCCGCATCCCAAAAATCGCAAATGCCCCCTTCGCGTACGCGCCAATGTTCTCGGGAAACAGTACCGACCCACAGAGTGGCTTGGGACTGGCCACACTGTAGGTACTCCATCTTTTAACCGAGGGTGTACCTACAGCGCATGCGGGGGTGGAGTATTGCGATCGTGTATACCCAGACCACCCTAACAACCATTCGGCAGCCTCGGGAGAGCCTCGCCATCCTGTGGCATTGCCGTGGCGTCAAATACAGAAGAGACGAAGCGCCTACAGTGTAGACAAACCGCATCACATCGCGCAAGCGACAAAAGAACCGTTCAGCCCCGAAACACACGGACAAAACATACAGCAGACAATTGGACCCATGCGACAGACACAGACAACAGATCCCACCCCACTGGGCAGAGTGATGATGACAACACAGTGGCGAAACCGGCGAATAGCGAGCAAGACGGAAAACGCGAAAATTGATTGTTTCAAATAGTAACTCTGAGTGTTACAAAAGCAAGAGACACAATTGCCACAACAGTTAACCGTAACCAAACATTGTGCATGTTTATCGAGTGACGCAAATAGGTGGTTACAAAAATCACTTTTTCAAAACCTGCGTTTCAAGAAAAAAACAGCAACATGATACCATGTAGCAATCTATCATATATTACATGATAACTATGTTTATGAGATGCTACTACTGAGGGCGCGTTCATATTCTTGCAAGCGTGCGTGTCGGGAAACGTCGAGCTTTGACAGCAATTGCCGAGCCTGCCTCTCAATTTCACTAAGTGTCAAAAGCTGACTCCCAGATGGAAATTGACTTTGATTCCTCCTTAAAGTCGTTGACCCAAAACGTGCAAGATTAACAAACATGATAGGGGCAAAAGGTTTGACACGGCAGCGCGCAGGGGCGTAGGGCAGTGGTGCGAGGTGGCGAGTGGTTTTCGCCAACGAGCGAGCGTCGCAACACCATGCGCGACAAAAACACTATTGACGAAACCTCATGAACCAATTAGGGCGCAAACAAACCGAGCACGCAAAACACCGCCAATATAAAAGGACAAAAGGGGAGGGTGGGACGGAAAAGGGAAAGGAGGGGCGCGCTAGGCGCGGGAAGTTGGTTGGGGGGGTGGGGGGGGGGAAGGAGGGAAAGAGTGGGAGTGTGGGAGGGGTGATGAGGAAGGCACACGTAAGGACGTGGTGCTTTTGGCGAGATTTGGGCTGTGCAACTTGACCCTGCTGCGCAACTCGTGTGGGTAACTTGACTTGGCAATTTTCGCCAAACAACTTTGGGGTGGGGTGGCGCACGCGTATCAACTGTTGTAAAGAACATTGGTGTTTTCACGCCGCTCGCACGAAAAATGCAAATCGAAACGCGAAACTAGATTTGGTGCGGGGAATCTAGTAACAAACAATTCGCTATCGTTTCAGGCACTTCGCAAACTGTGATTCATGCGCTGCGCAACTTGACCCAGTTTTTGCAGAAGTACCACGACCTTAGGCGTGGTGGCGCTGGGCTGGGTTGCACTTCAAAAATCCAAAAATGTATGAGCGCATGTTTCAAGTTTCTTTCCGCTCAAACGCCTGGTGTATCGGGGGCAGGGGCGGAATTGGCTGGGGGTGGCGCACGCCTATCACATGTTTCCCGTCTTTTTGGTGCGCGATCTTAGTTTTCCCTCTCGTTTTGCGGAACTGGGTTACCAGAAGGGCAGTTTCAAGATTAATAAACTTGAAACAAAATTTCTGCAATTTAGACGGCTTTAAGTTGACGCCGACAAAATATACTGCGAGACGCGAGAGGGTGATCTAGGTTTCGATCGGCAGTCTTTCCAAATGCGAAAGAACATCCAAACACGTATGCTACAATCGACACGGTTAGAGCTGTGAGTAGTCATATTTGACAAAAAGATGTTTGGCTGTACAAAAGTTTCACGTTCAGCTTTCCGCACGAGGGTTTCAAGTTTTGCTTTCTAGTAGTCCTACTTCCTGCCTCGTTTCTTGAACCCTAGCGCGGCTCGATACTTTGGTCCCAGCTCGTTTCTTGGTCCTATCTACCTGCCTATTTGACTCCTGAATATTTTCTTGGACTTAAAGTCGTTTCATATATTCTCCTCCTTATTTGCTCCTTTCCTTCCTTCATGTTCCATCGTCAGCATACCTTCCTTTGCGTTATTCTCCCTTTCAGTTATTCATTCTCCGTTTTGTTGTTTCATCTTCCGCTTGATGTTTGCCTTTGGCCAGGATGGTACAGGTGTTGGGGTTGATTCGACCGTCACTGTCACCGTTCTCTGCGCCTGTCAGGTTTCGTATGTTTCTGTTTTCTGGATTCTCGTCAGATCTGTTGGTATCCTTGCTGCTTTAGCTTAGTGCTCTGATATCTCACTTTCTCTTAACCGTTTCGTCTCGTCGTCGCAAAAGCCATTCATTTTGTCTACGTTTCCGCCATTGAGTTTTCTGCCTTCGGTTTCGCCTTTGCCCTGCGTGCAGATGACGAACACATGTTCGCCCCCAAGCACTGCTCCGTGTTCCCGGACGTATGGGTTCAGTTTCTTGGAGTCGTTGGCCGAGCAGTAGATCCGCTGACGAATGGTATGCGCCATGCTCATGCCCATCTCCCTTCCTCCATGTTTTTGCTGCCTGGGGAACTCCCTCCTTGTCAGTTTCCTTGTTGGGGAACGCTGACTTTTGCCTTGCCTTTTGCTTTTAATTATCTTCTGTATGTCTTCTTGTGCTCCCTGTTTCTATTTTTACAGAATAGCGCTGACCAGGGGTGTTCATATTGACACCCCTCTGTTGCTTGCACTGCCCACCCGTGGCAGCATGACTGGCGGTTTTGGGCAGCAGGGACTTTTTATTCGTAGTGGGACCGATTTTGTCCTTGTTATGGTGCTGGTGTTTTTTGCTTGATATGCGCGACGATTGCACGGTGCCTTTTGCACCTGTAATGTTGAAATGTATTTGTATCTGCAGAGTTTAAATTAATAGTGTATTTTATTTACGATAAGTGTACCATGATAATATTGAACAAAAATGGGCTGCAATGTATCGCGGATTTGCGTTAGATGTTTTCCCCAGTTTATGGGGATTCAGTCTCGAGATCATACGTGGCAGCTGTCTTGACGCTTCGTGGACGAGAGCTGGGCACAATCTCGCTGCGGAGGGAGTGGGGAGGTTGTGCCTATAGTGTGGCTACAACGTGGTAGTAGGTTGTGGGGAGGGTGTAGCCGCAGTGTCTGTAACACATTTCCAGCAGCGATGTGGACCCGCTGAATGAACAAATATTGCTACTCTGTAGATGGCTGCACCCTCCCCGCAATGTTGCGATGATCTCTGGAGGGTGTAGGGAGACGCTGGAACGGCAGCTGTTTTTTGGGACGCGCCGCGCCGACCCGACGCTCGCGAGCGGAGCAGACACAAGCAGACGACGAGAAGCACCGAGGGAACCGCGCGGGAGGAGTAAATCGGCCTAATTGCGTCCTGGAAAGCACGACGATTCTAGGTAATCAAGGCGCAGAAATGCTGAAGGAGTCGTGTTTTCTGACTCGTGGCTTTGAGCTGACATGAAATTTGTACTACATACTCCATAGTAGGCAGCAAAGCGAGCACGAAAGCAAACATGCTGGGGCACGACAAGCCCGTTGCGCTGAGCTTGTCGTCTCCTGGTCCGCGCTACGACTAATGCAACGCGCACCTCGACATGTAGGAGTTGAGTAGTAGTCACTTCACCTACTCTGGTGGTGTGGTGTAGAGTGGTGGTGAGGATTTGGAGGGGTTGTAGTGCAGGCTGAGCTTCTCCACTCAACCTCCCCATGAGGCTGGGTCTTGCAGGGCTGGATGTCTCTTCGCCAGTAGGAGCTGTGGAAGGTTGTCGAGAGACCAGCTGTGTGGAGACCATGGGAGAATTCAAGGCTCGTGTCATCCTAGCTTCTGGTCATTATTTGCCAGCATTTCGGAACTTCGGGTCTTCCGGAATGTGGCAAAGGATGACCTGAAGTCCAGAGGCCACGAGCCCCGAATGGACCCCAAGAGAGTTCGCCCAGTTTAGGTTTGCACCCGCTGAGGAGAACAAAACGTTTCAGGGGGTAATGTATCTGCCTTCCCGAAAACAGAATTTCCACACCAGTGGTATCATCTTGGCAAGAGAGCGTTGGGAACTTCACTCCAAGGATGTGGAAACACCAGTGGGGAAAAAAATAGAGAGCCGTAGAAGAAAACGATGGAGATCGCATCGCATATGCACCCTGGCGGCATAAAGGCTGACCACTTGAAGTTCTAGGGGTGGGTTTAGGGCTGACCACATGTGGTGTCTGTGGTCGATCTTGTCGCTTGGCATCGATAAAAGATGCCCCTCTCGCTCTGTATAGTTCCAGGCAGCTACTCCCATAGGATGCAAAAGTGATATATTTAGAATGCACAGAACGACAGAACCTGATAATCCGATAATTCTGTTCGGACGGCTTCATGATGTACCAGAAAACTTACACTTTTTGGTTAACGGATTGACGAAAACGAGTTCAACGGGCGACCGACATTTTCGACATTTTCCCCAGCCACCACTGCAAGGCATGGCAAATCCCGCCTTCAAAATGGGAGACTCGCGCGGCTAGTTGAAGGCGCGACCCCAATTCACATTGTTTCCCGTTTTTCCCGACCCCTAGACAACAACGAACCCCAATAAACATTTTCTACGCGCTACTCGGGCTTCGTCATTTTTACAAGGATGGGCTCCGCGGGCAAGGGAAAAACTCTTGTAAGTAATGATCACCATTCTGGCTCTGCAGTTGTGCGAGGCTGTACCGTTTGTTCACGCGCGTTTGTTGCTATCTGTTCAAAAATCAGATTTGCTGGCTGGTGGGAACCCTGACTTACTGTTACGGAGACCGCGCCATGTGTTTTACAATGCGGGCATCGACAAACACATGAATACACTTAACTAAATGCTCGAATTGCATAATAATGACGAATCCCGACTAGCGCGTAGAAAATTTTTATTGGTGTTCGTTGTTGCCTACGGGTCGGTAAAAACGGGTACAAAAGTTTAATTAAGATCGTTTTTCACGAGCGGCGCGAGTTCTCCCTTTGAAATTCAGCAACGCACCACGACGGTGCGCACTCATCGGGGCGCGTCAATTTCACGCGACCAATGGATTTCTCCCGCTTCTCCCCGCAGCGTCGGTGGCCCGCGATTCCAAATTTCAAGGCGCGTCAAAATACAGCAGCGGATCGCTCCAGTCAAATTTCTCGGGGGATCCCCCTTCTTTCCCCCCATCCCCCCCACGCCCCGGAACCACGGGACACTCTCCTCCTCTGGGGAACCCAAGCACAGCCATCGAAAGCTTGGCGCACCCAGCGCGCGCACTGAACGTTAGCTCTCCTGTGGCCGAGAGGAAAGGAAGTGTCTCTGCAGCTGGTATGGCAGCTTGTCAAGCATTTGCCAAGCGCCGAAACGGCTACTAGAACGCTCCTTCGTGGCAAGGCACCCTCAGAGCCCTGCCGAACCGCTCCGAAAGTTCCGACCACCGACGAAAACCACCCGTGTCGAAATGTCACAGCCACACCGTGGTCTTTAGAAATAGCTCAGTGGAAGCATTTGAGGATCAACCAGCGCATCTCTCGTCTACCACCACTTCCTGCAGCGCATATCGTTCGTCTCATCCGCCATCTCGTTGTGTGTAGTGCTCCGCATTCTACTTCGTACCAATTGTAGGGGGATACATCGTTTGGTTCTAGTCCATCTCTCCTTCCAACATTATCTTTTCAATCACGCCACCGGGCCTCGAATATCAAATTTGACGGCAGTTAGAGAGAGCCATGGCTCGTTCAATCACTTTCGCCGTCGCTTTAGCCTCTCTGGCGGTTATTTGCCTGTCCTCCGTCATCGTTGACGGCGCGGTAGCAATAACGACCGCGCCGACAACAACACCAGCCCCGACGGCAAGGGCGACACCCGCGACATCCCCGACCGCCAAGGCAACACCCCCGCCGACTAGGACACAGCTGCGCGCCGAGCTGAAGAAGCTGTCGGCGACGATCACGAAGAAGTACCCCAAGTACTCCAAGTACTCGACGCAAGTCAACAAGGCCATCAACGTCGCACGTAAGTTCCTGTCGCGACTCTTGACGTGAGTCTTGAGGTGACTATTGAGCTGACTATCACCAAGTGCTCGACGCGGGTCTACACGACCATCAACGTCGGCCATGATCCTCCGCTAAAGCACGCAGATCAACTCATCATGGGACCCTTCAATCTCGATCGTGAGCATGGCCCTTTTGAGAGTTAACGTGCCACGTAGCCCTTGTGAGTCTTGTCAGCCATCGACGCTTTTTGAGGCTCACGTGCCTACTCCGCCTCCCGCGACCATCCTTCCGTCCCTCCCGCTTACTTACCTTCATCTACTTCCCCCCCCCCCCCCCCCCCCCCCCCCCCCACCCCCACTCCCGCATCCCGGTTACAGTGAACTCCAAGTACGACCTGACGGCGCTCAAGAACTGCACGATCCTGCTGATGAGCGACGTGGTGGCGGACAAGCTCTCTCTCCGCTTCAAGGGCAAGAAGCTCTCGTCCGACACGGCCTACAACCTCACGGCCGTGCAGATAATCGCCACCCGCTACACGCTGCCGCAGCTGCAGGCGATCAAGAAGGGCACGCTGCTGCCGACCCAGCTCAAGGGCGTCAGCATCGTGAAGATGTCGCCGGTCGGGCCGACCGTGGCGTTCGGGCAGCAGGGCCTGGCGAAGCCGACGTGGAGCACGGTGCTGGACCCTCAGATGTATGTGGGCCCGTACTTCGTCGCGCACGGTGTGGACAACCCGCAGTTCCCCAAGGGCACGCAGCTGCCTGCTTAGGCGAGGAAGCAGAATGAAGTGTGATTTACGTCGGCGGCGTGGGACACGTGGCGGAAAGTCACTGGTCAGCGCTATGCTTACATAACCTCTCCTCGCTAGTAGGTGTTTTGCTTAGAGTGCGGATGTGATGTCTCCTTCCATGCCAGACACCTTTCTGGTGCGTGCCATGTCATCTCAATGGCTCCAGGTTTGCCGTATACACTCTCCTAGGGGAGAACTTTAGGGAGGACCCATCACGTCACGTGCATGCTGTTATACGTTGCTCTCTTCTAAATTCCTGAAACCTCTCTCCTCTCCATTCCCTGCTTTATTTGAAGCAATCTTCCAAACTTCTTAGATTTGGGTGTTTTGACGTGCCCTAAACATGGCCTTCCTTTCACTTCAAAATGTCGAAAACCAATCTACCCTGATATGAGATGAGAGTGCTCCCGTCTAGTAGTTTATTAGTAAGTACAATAAAAGCAGCATACTGTAGTATTGAAGAGGCTATGCTAGATTGAACATATGCAGAGGTTTCATGTGGTTAATAGTGTGAGAAAGTAACGAAGGTGGAAGCAAATATCTAAAGCTCTACAGTACCAACTGCTCTGATGTTGTTCAAAATAGCTGGCTGATGTTGTTGCCAAGTGGGCTCCCGTCAGTTTCAACGCACCAATGGCCGCCTCGGTTTCATTTGCCACAGCACCATAGGCTCCTCCATTTTCGCGGTTGGTGGCAACCCTTTACATTCGCGACGTTCGCAAACAAAACTGTGCCTCGATACCCCCACCTTTCAGAAGTCTTTCACGGTCTACGAAGGTGCCACCTCGGCAGACGAAATCAGGCAGTTACCAGCAAGTCTCCCCTGGTCCATCCAAGGCCCCACAGATCTGGCGTGTCGGAAGAGTGACCCTTGGGAAAAGCTGATCCCCCCAACTAATCAGCTGACAGGCAGACTCTCCCAGGGGAATGATTTCCCGCCTGAGGGCGTCAGAGGTTCGTTTTTTTGCGGTGAAGTAAGGTGATATGCGTTCCAAAGCTTCTCGTCAAGTATCTAAAATGGTCGGGTAGGGTTCTGAGTTCCCCAACGTCTTGCCCGGCCTTGGGTATGGTGCTGATTCAAGCAGTCAGGGCAGGGTTCAGTATACCTGACCCTATCTTACTTTTGATCAGGAAACCAAGTCCAGCATTTGCAAGAGTTAGCACAGTCGAGTGAGCTTTCTAGCCCGCTTTGCTGCCCTGCTCCGGCTGTCTTCTCGGTTCGATCGCGCGGATCAGCCTTCCGGTTAGCTTCTGTGCGCGGATCGATCAGATATGGCGGAGCAGAATAAGGGGTCGGTGTGGGGGTCGATCAAGCCGTTCGTCAATGGCGGAACGGCTGGGATGATGGCCACGTGTGTGATCCAACCCATCGACATGGTTAAGGTCCGTCGCTTGCTTTTTTGCTGCCTACTTGTTATCGCTATGTATAGGAAGTGAAGTCTCATGATCGCCAGATGGAAGCTCCTAAGTGGTTGAGTAGTGCGCGAACGATCTTCCTCCCCAACAGGCGTGAAGGAGTATTTTTCTCCTTTAACTACGTGAACTTGGATGAGCTTCGGAACCGTTCCGTTGCGATTCGCTACAGAACACTCCCTGCGCGTCAACCTAACTAACCTGGGTATTTCGGTCTTCGTTTTCGTGGCTCGTGTTGTTACCTCTTGCGAGCAACAGGTCCGGATCCAGCTGGGCCAGGGGTCGGCGTTCGACGTCACGAAGAACATCATCAAGAACGAAGGCGTCGGGTCCTTCTACAAGGTACACTCATGCTCCTCATTACAATGTGGTTATCCACAAAACACACGATTCGAAACTAAAGGGCTCGACGAACGAGATCGTCGGCTCTGTCAACAAGACACGATCGTGCATCGATGCTAGTAGGTACAAGTGTGCGTCGAGCACGCGTCCTCTTGTGTATTGCATCTTGCCACTTACAGAGGGTGCCCGACTTTAGAATACCCTGTTCACGAGTCGCGCTGGATGAATGTGGATGGAATTATTGATCGGGGGGGTGGACTTCGGGAGAGAATCGGGCTGGGCATTTTGCGGACATCATGTGTATTTCTTAATCTGTGAAGCTTGCGTGGTCATCAAGTTCTCACTGGTCGGGTTTTCGTCTCTCTGCTATTCCTCCTTCCTACAGGGTTTGTCTGCGGGTCTCCTCCGACAAGCCACATACACCACCGCTCGCCTCGGCTCCTTCAGGTACGGAGCATCTGCATCCTCCACTCGCAGTCGCACATTCCTCGTGCAGCAAAGAATCGTTCGGTTTCTTTTGGCGTGGCAGCGCATTTCATGCTAGCGATGTGCAACGTCGATGTGAGTGATGCAGCCCCGCGACACATGATCCCCTCTGGGGCTAGACGGTGCGAAAGCGAGAGATCCTGAAACCGGATCTGGTCGGAAGCATTTGTCAACGTGAAGTGCAAGGTTGGCTGAGGTCCCCAGCCCTCAGTCTGCATATCCATGTCCATCGGCAATGGCTTAGGATGTAGAATCCCGGCAATAGAGCAACTTGAGTTTTGAAAGCTGATCCTGCCAACCGTGTGGTCAATGTGGAGTGCTTGGTTGGCTGAGATCCCCAGCCCACAGCCTGCATATCCCTCTTCATTCTCTCTCCACGCCAACGCGTCGAGGGGTGCTGTATGATATGGGGGACATATGCACGGATCTTCTACCCTTGGTATTCTTTCATCTTCAGGCACTTCTTTTAAACCCTTCCCTTCACTCATCCCAAGGTATCTCACCACCACTGAGGCCACCAAGGGTAAAACGGCAAGCCTCCCCCCCTCTACCTGAAGGCCGCTCGCGGGCTGAAGGCGGGTGCTATCGGCGTCAGGGCAGAGGTCAGCATGGAGCACTGATCCATTTCGCCACCCTTCACACCCCCCTGCCTCCCCCTCTGCCAGAAGGCGGCGTGCGGGTTCACGGCGGGCGCCATCGACACAGGTAGCATGTGCGCTGATCCCTTACCCTCGCTGTTCCGTTCCCCCCTCCTACCCATTCCTCCCCAGGTATCTCACCACGGAGGCCACCAAGGCGAACGACGGCAAGCCCCTGCCGCTCTACCAGAAGGCGGCGTGCGGGCTGACGGCGGGCGCCATCGGCGCATGCTTCGGCAGCCCCGCGGATCTCGCGCTCATCCGCATGCAGGCGGACTCCGTGCTCCCCGCCGCGGAGCGCCGCGGCTACAAGAACGCGATTCACGCTCTAACGCGTATAGCCGCGGACGAGGGCGTGACGTCGCTGTGGAAGGGCGCGGGGCCCACGGTGGTGCGAGCCATGGCGCTGAACATGGGCATGCTGGCGTCGTACGACCAGAGCATGGAGTATTTCAAGGATACGCTGCAGCTGAAGGAGATCCCCGCTGTTATTGGTGAGTTAAGCTTATAACGAGTGTGCTGTTAGCGGGTCCTGGCGATGGCGCTGAACATGGGCATGCTGGCGTCGTGCGATCAGAGCACGGAGTATTTCAAGGACACGCGGCAGCTGAAGGAAATCCTCGTTATTGGTGAGCTCTTATGGTAGGCGAAATTGTGCTGATAACGAGTGGGCCGTTAGAGGGGCCAACGGTGGTGAGTGCTTGCAGGGGGAATGTGGTAGATGGGGCTGGTGGTAACGAGCGAGCTGCTAGAGGGGCCAACGGTGGTGAGGGCGATGGTGCTGAACGTGAGCATTTTGGTAACTTCCTGCGTCTTGCAATAACTACCCCCCCCTTGCCCCCCTCCCTGACCGTCTGTCCCTCTTCCTCCGAGAGAGTGTGGTGTGGGGTTCTTTTGCCTCGGTGAAAGACGCAGATCCAGAGCATAGGCTCTCTTTCCTCTTCTGCCTTCCTCTTTCCGCCCCATCCCCCTTTCCCGCCCTTCCCCCTTTTCCCCCTTTCCCCCCTTCCCCCATCCCTCAGGCGCCAGCGCGGTCTCTGGGTTCTTCGCATCCGCCTGCAGCCTCCCCTTTGACTACGTGAAGACGCAGATCCAGAAGCAGAAGCCCGGGCCGGACGGCAAGCTGCCGTACAGCTCGTCCATGGACTGCGTCATGCAGACGCTCAAGCAGGGCGGCCCGCTCAAGTTCTACACTGGCTTCGCCACCTACTGCATACGAATCGCGCCCCACGTCATGGTATGTGTGGCTTCGATGGGATGGGATGGTATGTGCGGCTTCGATGGGATGGGATGGTATGTGCGGCTTCGATGGGATGGGATGGTATGTGCAGCTTCGATGGGATGGGATGGTATGTGTGGGTGGGGTGTGGTTTTGATGGCCCCCTCGGGTTCTTCACTGGGTTTGCCACCTACTGCATACGAATCGCGCCCCACGTCATGGTGTGTGTGGGTTTGGCGTGCATGTACTTGTATGGTTGTCTGTGATGTGGTTGTATGGCACTGCCTCCCAAGTTCTACACGGGGTTTGCCACCTACTGCGTACAAATCACGCCCCACGTCATGGTATGCGTGGCTTTGCGGCTGTGGTGTGTGGAATTCTCATGTCTGGGTCCGGGAATTCCCTTGTAGCGCCCCATGTCATGGTATGCGTGGCTTTGCGTATCTGTTATTCACTGACTCGGACTGTTTTTCATTTGCTTGGTTTGCTCTTTCCTCCTGGCTCGCTGCTCTTTCCTCTTGGCTCTCTGCTCTCTCCTCCTGGCTCTCTGCTCTTTCCTCCTGGCTCTCTGCTCTCTCCTCCTGGCTCTCTGCTCTTTCCTCCTGGCTCTCTGCTCTCTCCTCCTGGCTCTCTGCTCTCTCCTCCTGGCTCTCTGCTCTTTCCTCCTGGCTCTCTGCTCTCTCCTCCTGACTCTCCGCCCTTTCCTCCTGACTCTCTGCTCTTTCCTCCTGACTCTCTGTTTTTCCCTCCTGGCTCTGTCCTCTTCCCTCCCGGCCCCTCCCTGCAGCTGACCTGGATCTTCCTCAACCAAATCCAAAAGCTCCAGAAGGCCAATGGCTTGTAGCAAGGCGCAGCCATTGGGTTGGCCCCTCTCTTACTCTGATGCGGTGTCATAGCAAGAGTGCTCTACTATACACTTAGTTGCCTATTCAGCGACCTATATAACATGCCTTGTCCCAATTCCTCATGTCTCACCGCGTTGCACAACACTACACCTGGAAAGCAAACGTCTCCACAATGCTGTACACTGCTAAAAGGGTACTCATGCCTAATCAGGCGCTCTCGTTGCTTCATGGGCTCTGTTCATTGGTCCTAGAGTTACAAAACCGGATGTGCCACGAAGTGAGTTCTCTACTTTCCAGAGCAAGTATCACATGATCCAACCTGGGATCAAGCATGGGGCAGATCCAGCTCATGGGCATGCATTGGCTATTTTGCAAGTGGGAGTACATTATATTCCATGCTGTGAGGCAGAGCCAGCCACTCCATTGGGCCAGTGACTTGGTGAGTGCGCTAGAACGGCACTGGGGAGTATGGTGTGCTAAAGGTGATGGGAAGGGAGGGCCTAAGATAGGTTTTGGGTCAGGTTGACCCATCTGCCTTCCCTCCCCGCCTTTGGGTAGGATTAGGATACCAGCACCCCTCGGGGAAAAAGGCTGATTTCTCAGGGCTACTTGGAGGAATGTTGCTGATTGAACAGTGTGTAGGTACCAATAGTACTCAGAACATTCTAGGCTATTGCACATCGATAACAATGCTTCAATAACCGGGGGGGCAAGTCAAAATGAGGTGGTCACATAGATGTTGCTTAGTGGTAGTGTACGAATTCATGGTCCATCCATCAGAGAGAGATTTGATTATACAAATCATGAGCAGACACACGTAGTAGTTCTGTAACCTAACTATACAAGCACGTATTGCTAAGGAGGTAAGATCCAGGCGATTGATGGGAATCGGCTCCAGACCATCTCCTGAAACCCTCAAGATCTATGCCTCAGCCGTAACCCCGGGCTCGATGCTGCTGCTGGGGCAGTCCTTGCCCCCTGCTCACACGCTAGAACGTCTCTCGCACATGATGGGCCCGGGGATCCGGCACGAGCATTTCACTCCAGCAAGCAACCCCACCAACCAACCCCACCAACCAACCCCAACAGGCAACCCCGCCGGCCAGCCCTACGTGATCTTGAGCACGGCCTTGATGCCGTTAAGGCAGTCCTTGCCCTTGCTCACGAAGTAGAACGTCTTCCCCTTGTCGCTGGGCCCGGGGATCCACAGCACGTGGCCCGCGCCCGACGGGCGGAAGAGCTCCTTGGTGCCCGACACGTCGCACGCGGCGTACTTGAGCGGGTTCTCCATCATGTACACGCTGTGCACCTCGCCCGTCATCCACCGGAACACTGTAACGGAGCACGGGGTCGCATTAAGGAGGATGAAAAGAATGGTTATTAGAGAGTGCAATTTGAAGCAATATGGGGTGGTTTTCCTGCTCTTCTCTTTACGATACAGATGCGTGGGCTTTTCAAATATCTGCAGCGTCACACTGCATGCCTTCCCACGCTTCCAAAAAAAATTGCAAGCATGCATGCCTGCCTGCCAATTTCCAGTCTGATTTACTGCATTCCACTTTCCATGCTGCTAGGAAAAGGGTTAACAAAACATTTTTCCAATTAATAACATTCATCTTAGTACTTACTGACAACGTCGAATGGGTGTACAATTCCAGCCTTATAGTTCTTCACGGCAGGGCCCCATGGGTTGAGCGGGTTACCGTAACCGAACCCCACGCATATGATTCGCCACCCTTTCGGCGTCGGCGCTGCGAAAAGGAGGGAACGCGGCAACCGGGCAAGCAGGGAAGGGAAGGAGAGTGAGTGAGTCAAGCTTGCGATGGGAATCTATCGCTGCGAGGCCTCGAGGCCTATTGCCTAGTACGGCTGATACAGGGGCTGAGAGAAAAAATGCTGGGTTTCGATGCCCGATAGCGGCAATGCCGCGTGGAGCAGGTGAAGCAGCACGTGAGTTCCGTGGCTTTCCTCCCTTTGAGTTCGCTTTCCATCGGTGGTACTGCAGGCCAGCCGACTCACCTAGAGAAGCTACAACAAGCCAGGTAACTCACCTAGAAGAGCAAGGCTGGCGAAGAGTAGTAGTAGTGCGAACTTTGGCGACGCCATGTGTGACCGCATTAGTTTCTCGCTCGTCTCGTGCCTGCCTCCGTTCGCGACGAACTCTGCTCACTGCAGAGTCGAGACGGACACGTGGAGTGGAGTAGAGTCTGCGCGATAAGCGCCAACCACTGTTTGACCGACCGTACGAGGAAATGTAGATTGCTGCCTCACAACGCTAGAGCGACTCGGTTGAAGTGGCCGAGATAATGTAGGGGTGCTTAAGGGCAATGGGAGGAAGAAGGAATACAGTACGACGTCTTGGTGAAGGGCCCAGCTTTATGCTACGCGATGGGGAAAGGTGGAATTGTGGGTGAAAGGCCGCGGCTGGTGATGACCACGTGTTACATGCTACTGCAACCCCTACGAAAAATGTCGGTGGGAGGGTGGCGTCGCCAACTCTTCGCGCAATCGTAGGCCCGCTCTCACTGGTCAAGCAGGATGGCAGGTCTGTTCGCCGCGCGTGCTGCCTTGCTGCGCTGTACTGTGCACTATGCCACGAACAACTGTGGCGATGCCCGGGACACCAATCACAACGCACATTGTAACCACGTTGCGGGGCCTATGCGTCATCCTTGGGGGCCACAGCCATGCGCGCCGCAAAAGAAGGTCACGTTTTGGGACCGCGCAGCCACCCTGGAAACGTGATTGGACCGAATACACGTGTGTCATCCGTGCTGGCGTGCAAGTGCCTGCCAGCTGGAGCTGTAGCAGTGCAACTTGACGGTTAGTGGAACCCCAGACATGATCCCCTTTCCGAGGGAAGTTTTAGTCAAGTACACATACAGAGGTTGTTTGGTTTGCTTGGGCGCACAAATTGGACCGCATCCTGAAACTTTTAGGCATCGTGAGCGAGAAACGAGCTGCATTCGTAGTGTGAATGGGGCTTCAATTGCGCCTGGCTTCGTGCGAAACAGCGACCTGACGAAACTGCTGGCGAACTAGCGCAACTGTGGGTTGCTGCAGCCGAAACTGCCAACTGGTGACCGCTACTGAGTGTGGGTGGCACGGATTTCTTCGCCATAAGTTCACTTCGCGAAACCGCTGGGTTAGCGGAAGGTGCACCGTGGAGGCAGTAGTGCTGTTACAATGAGCTTAAAAATGGTATGGCGCTTGTAGAACTTATGTGACCATACAATCCCTTGGATATTGCTCCAAAAATAAACTTTATTGCTTGTAGCAGCTACCAGGAAAACCAGGATGGGACCGTGCAAATGGGTTGTCTACAGGAGCAGCAGGAATGCCTCGTTGAACGAGCAGGCAGCGAAACATGTGCATTCGATAACGAGGACCATCCTTCATGCTATCCACGTACGCTTTGGGACTCCAGAGGCGCTCTGAGGGAAAAAATAGTGGGGTGGGGGGGACGAGGCGAGGGGGAAAGGAGGGAGGGGGATGGGGAGGGGTGGGTGGAGGGTTGGGATGGTTCCGTCCCGTACATCAGAAAACTGAAGTCTAAGAGAGGCACCCATCATTCTCACCTGCCATGGCAGCAGCACGGGGCCACACTGTAGCCAAGAGTTGCGACGGGTCGATTTTCTCACTCCAGGCACACACCTCCCCTCCCACCACCACTCTCTCTGCTAACTCCACCAGCTCCTCCCACCTCCTCTTCCTCCCCTCTCCTCCCCTCCTCTCCTCTCCTCGCCTCCTCACTTCCTCTCCACCCCCTGCTCCTCCTCCCCAACTCCACTCCTCGTTAACCATCCCCCGCGCTCCACTCTCTGCTGATGCAGCTGCTCCCTGCCCTCCATTCCCAACCCACTGCTCCTCCCATCCCTCCGCTCGCCTCCCCCCCAATTCTGCCCCTACCCTGTAGATTCCTTTCTCCCCTTCCTGCTCCCCTCCCTGTCCCAGCCTCTCTTCCCCCCTCTTCTCTCCTCTCCCCTTCCCACTTTCACCCCTCTCTCCCACCATCTCCATTCCCCACGCATTCCCAAGCCCGCCCCCTCCCAAATCCCCAACCCTTCCCACCCCCATATTCCCCAACTCCCCACTCCCCATGTCCGCACTCCCCACATCCCCACTCCCCTCATCCCCTCTCCCCACATCCCCTTTCCCCATATACCCTCTCCCCATATCCCGTCTCCCCATATCTCCATCCCCCTCCTCGCTCTCCATCCTCTCTCTTTCCACCTGCAACACCAGGTCAGTGGGATCCTCCCTATAAGCATGCTCCCAGCGGGCCTGTAACGAGTCCAGGTACCACCCTCCCCCCGCTGTGGTGTGAAGGATCCGGAAGCCCCACGCTGCTATGTTGGGCAGGCGCTCTGTTTGCAGCCTGGGCGGGAAGCACCATGAGAATGGGAGTACAGGAGGACAGGAGAAGCGGAATGAGGAAAGTTGATGAATCAGAGCTGCCGTGTGAAGGATGCGGAGCCCCATGCTGTTACGTTGGGAAGACGCTCTGTTTGCAGCCTGGGTGGGAGGAGCAGGAGATTCCAAGACAAGATAGTAAGATGGCTTTTGAGTCGACTCAACACTGGGTGGAGCAGTGAATTAGAAGACAAGATAGTGCGATGGAACAGAGGGCAGAAGAGTGGAGATGGGATGAAGGACACCACATCGTGCAGGAGGGAGGGAGAGGCAGGGAAAGACAGAGTTCACCAGCACAGGTGAGAATACAGTTGCAGGGAGCATGGCAGCAGCAGGGAGCATGGCAGCAGCAGAGAGCATGGCAGCAGCAGGGGGCAGACCAGCTCTGAACGATGGTGTTTGCCGGATGCAGCTTCCTCCTGAAGCCAACGAACGACTCTTCCCTGCGGCGATTAAGAGAGAGGAAGAGAGAAGAAGGAAACAAGAAGAGGCTGAGGAAAAGGAGGGGGGACTTGGAGGGATGCAGTGAAGTGCAGAGGAGTGCAGAGGAGTGCAGAGGAGAGAAGAGGAGTGAAGAAACGCGGGATGGCGTGCCATAGAGACAGGAGAAAGAAGCGTGTATGACCAGACTATTGTTGTCCATCGCATACTTAATGTCCAGAAGCGTGTATGGCCAAGGATCTTACCAGACTATTGTTGTCTTCCACCCAGCTTGCTTAGCTATGTCCTGCACCCGGTTCACAAAATAAGCAACGGCTGCCTTCACTGTCTTCCTCCTCCTCCTCCTCCTGCCGTCCCAAACATGGCAAAGGGTTTGGGGAAACCAGGAAGAAGTGGGCGGTGGGCAGTGGGCAGTTGGCGGTTGATGGTGGCCTGAGGGGGGGAGAACTTCACATGCGAAGAGGGGGGGAGTCAAAACCCAGAGCTCGTTGGAACGTATTCACGCATGTGGGGGATGCACGCAGCTCCTCTGCACGTGTGCTGTTGGGGGTTCACATGCAATGCAAAGGATGACAGGCAGGGCAACGGGTGACGGGCAGGGCAAAGGATGACAGGCAGGGCAACGGGTGACAGGCAGGGCAACGGGTGACGGGCAGGGCAACGGGTGACGGGCAGGGCTGGTGTGCGAGAGAGAGGGAGTGGTCTGGTCCCCCTAGTTGTGGGGTGTTTTTGTAAATTCTCAAACACCCTGCAATGCAATGCAATGCAAGGGCAAAAGATGAAGGGCTGGTGTGTGGGAGAGAGAGAGAGTGGCCTCCCCACCAGTGACATGCTGCTCCTCCGCCCACCCCAGTCTGAACCATCCACGTTGCTGCCATGCGCGGCAGCATTGCCCCAAAAAAACCCGTTACCGAAAAGGATCGGCCGCAACAAATTCGGCTAGCAAGTGATCAAAGGCGGGGTTGGGGGGGTGGGGGAGGGTGGGTGGGTGGGTGGGGGGAGAGGGGGGGGTGGGGAGCGCGGTCGCTAGCTACCCCCTACAGATTGCCCTGCTACAAGCATAGCCCGTACGGATTCGAAAAAAAGTTGCTCGTTAGGCTAAGGAATCGCGCGAAATTGTTCCCGTAAGCTGGACGGATTCGAAAAAAAACCGCACTGTAGAAAGACGGAATCACTTGAAAAGTGACTCTTTGTTTCCCGACATTAAGAGTAATTACCCTGTTAGCAAGAGGCCTGCTGGCGGTCAGAGCACTGGCGGTCAGAGCACTGGGGGTCAGAGCACTGATGCGATTTTGAGGGACAGCACATTGTGAGGGACAGCATATTGTGAGGGACAGCACATTGTGAGGGACAGCATATTGTGAGGGACAGCACACTGTGAGGGACAGCACACTGTGATTGTGAGGGACGCAGTGATTCCCGCGGTGACTCACAAGACGCAGTGGACTCACTGTTAGAATATTCTACCTTCATTCTATTAGCCTACATCGTTTCATTGTCTTAGGTACTTATACGCACACCACTAAGGTGTATACACCCAAGTTGGGGGTTGGGTTCCCAACCTTGTTGGGTTCCCAAATTGGTTGGGCTCCCAATTACTGGAACCCCCAAATAATCCCAACCAAGATTATTGGACCCACCAATAATCTTGGCTAGGATTATTGGACCCCCAATAAGTTGGCCAACCCAACTTATTGGATTGACCAATAATCGTGGTCACCTCCCAACCAAACCCCCCCTCCTACTCCTCACCTATGTATAACCGCTCCTTACCTAATACAATCAACTACTTTTTCACCACTTCTCAAATGATTTCAGAGCTTATGGCTCACGCCTCTCCCCTACTCGATTCTTAGCCTTAGAACTCTCTCCGCGCCCTTAAGCGCCCTACAGCCGCGCCCTTATGCGCCATCCCTCCGCGCTCTTAAGCGCCCTCCCTCCGCGCCCTCCTTCCGCGCCCTAAAGCGCCCTCCCTCCGTGCCCGTAAGAGCCCTCCCTCCGCGCCCTTAAGCGCCCTCCTTTCGCCGCATTTCGTCGCAGCACTCTGCCGCATTTCGCCGCATTTCGTCACAGCATTTCGCTGCATTTCGTCGCCGCACTTCGCCGCATTTCGTCGCCGCACTTCGCCGCATTTCGTCGCTGCACTTCGCCGCATTTCGTCGCCGCACTTCGCCGCATTTCGCCGCGGTGGGCGGTGGGCGGTGGGCGGTGGGCGGTGGGCGGCTTAGTTGCTACAAACGCGTTTGGCGTTTGAACGCTAAACGCTTGCCCGGGCAGGGCTAAAATTTTTGCCCGGGCAGGGGTAAAAATTTCCTGTGAGGGGGTGGGGAAATGGGGGTTCTGCAAGCAACCATTTCGTCCAAGAAAAATAAATCCGTCATGAACATTTATGGGCGCTCGCCCAGAAAAATAAATCCGTCATACTAGAACGCGGAAGTATTTATAGACCTCATGGTTCAGCAACATGCGGACGCTGTAACAGCAACATCCGCATCGCTCTCAGGGGTTCATATGGGAGAGCGCCCTTAAATTAAGGTGGGGTGTGAAAGTTGCTACGGCTATGGCGCGCGGCAAATAGAGGGCACATCTGACGGGGGAAGGAGATTGGGAGTCTGCGTGAAACTACGAGATGTGAGGAGGGGGGGTTGGAAGCTCTAGTTGACGATGTGTGGAGTGCGGTTGGGGGGGGGGAGTTGGTTGGGAGGTGAATATTGACGAGATGGTTGGGAGTTGGGACTTGGCGAATGTCGCGCTGAATTCGCCAAGTCTCGATTTCGCCCTAATCTTTTTCAATTTTTTTTCCAGGGGGCAGCCCGAAAAAAAAACCCAGCGAGCGTTTGCGTTTTAGGGTTCGTTTGACGTTTGCGTTCAAACGCAAGCGTTTGAACGCTAAACGCGCGTCTGCCAGAGCGTTTGTAGCAACTAAGGTGGGCGGTGGGCGGTGGGCGGTGGGCGGTGGGCGGTGGGTGGTGGGCGGTGGGCGGTGGGCGGTGGGCGGTGGGCGGTGGGCGGTGGGCGGTGGGCGGTGGGCGGTGGGCGTCAGTATCTCCTCCGGCAGCAGCTGCATGCGGCGCCTGCAACAGCAGCAGCATCTCTCCTCCTCCGGCGGCAGCAGCATGCGAAGCCCGTAACAGCAGCAGCAGCACCTCCTCCTCCGGCGGCAGCCGCACTCGCCGCGCGTAACAGCAGCAGCAACACCTGCTCCTGCAGCGGCAGCCGCACGCCCCGCCCGCGGCAGCAGCAGCATCTCCTCCGGCGGCTGCTGCCCGCAGCAGCAGCAGCAACAGCAGCACCTCCTCCTCCGGCGGCAGCAGCACGAGCCGCCTGCAGCAGCAGCACCTCCTCCTCCGGCGGCAGCCGTACGCTCTGCCTGCAGCAGCACGTCCTCCTCCGGCGGCAGCACCACGCGCCACCCGCAGCAGAGCATCTCCTCTGGCGGCAGCAGCATGCGTCGCCCGCAACGGCAGCAGCACCTCTCCTCCTCCGACGGCAGCAGCATGCGCCGCCCGTAGCAGCAGCAGCAGCACCTCCTCCTCCAGCGGCAGCCGCATGCGCCGCCCGCAGCAGCAGTAGCACCTCCTCTGGCGGCAGCAGCACGTGCCGCCCGCAGCAGCAGCACGAGCACCTCCTCCTCCGGCGGCAGCAGCACGCGCCGCCCGCAGCAGCGGCAGCATCTCCTCCTCCGGCGGCGCAGCACGCCCCGCCCACAACAGCAGCACCTCCTCCTCCAGCGGCAGCCGCACGTGCCGCCCACAGCAGCAGCAGCAGCACCTCCTCCTCCGGCGGCAGCAGCACACGCCACCCGCATCCTCCTCCGGCGGCAGCTTCATGTGCCGCCTGCGCCCTCCTCCGGCGGCAGCTTCATGCGCCGCCCGCGCCCTCCTCCGGCGGCAGCACCACGCGCCGCCCGCGCCCTCCTCCGGCAGCAGCACCACGCGCCGCCCGCGTCCTCCTCCGGTGGCAGCACCACGCGCCGCCCACGCCCTCCTCCGGCGGCAGCCTTACGCGCCGCTCGCTCCCTCCTTCGGCGGCAGCCGCACGCGCCGCACGTGACCTCCACCGGCGGCAGCTGCACGCGCCGCACGCGCCCTCCTCCGGCGGCAGCACCACGCGCCGCCCGCGCCCTCCTCCGGCGGCAGCTGCACGCGCCGCCCGCGCCCTCGTCCGGCAGCAGCACCACGCGCCGCCCGCGCCCTCCTCCGGCAGCAGCACCATGCGCCGCCCGCGCCCTCCTCCAGCGGCAGCACCACGCGCCACCCGCGCCCTCCTCCGGCAGCAGCACCACGCGCCGCCCGTGTCCTCCTCCAGCGGCAACACCACGCGCCGCCCGCGCCCTCCTTCCGGCGGCAGCCTTACGCGCCGCCCGTGACCTCCACCGGCGGCAGCTGCACGCGCCGAACGCGCCCTCCTCCGGCGGCAGCACCACGCGCCGCCCGCGCCCTCCTCCGGCAGCAGCACCATGCGCCGCCCGCGCCCTCCTCCAGCGGCAGCACCACGCGCCACCCGCGCCCTCCTCCGGCAGCAGCACCACGCGCCGCCCGTGTCCTCCTCCAGCGGCAACACCACGCGCCGCCCGCGCCCTCCTTCCGGCGGCAGCCTTACGCGCCGCCCGTGACCTCCACCGGCGGCAGCTGCACGCGCCGAACGCGCCCTCCTCCGGCGGCAGCACCACGCGCCGCCCGCGCCCTCCTCCGGCGGCAGCTGCACGCGCCGCCCGCGCCCTCCTCCGGCAGCAGCACCACGCGCCGCCCGCGCCCTCCTCCGGCGGCAGCACCACGCGCCGCCCGTGTCCTCCTCCGGCGGCAGCACCACGCGCCACCTGCGCCCTCCTCCGACAGCAGCACCACGCGCCGCCCGCGCCCTCCTCCGGCGGCAGCACCACCCGCCGCCCGCGTCCTCCTCCGACGCCAGCACCACCCGTCACCCATCCTCACGGGGGACTACCTGATTCAGGGGATTCTTCTCCTCAGCTACCCAACACTTATGGCACTCTGTAGGCTAAGGGCTTGTGTTAGAATATTCTACCTTCATTCTATTAGCATACATCGTTTCATTGTCTTAGGTACTTATACGCACACCACTAAGGTGTATACACCCAAGTTGGGGGTTGGGTTCCCAAATTGGTTGGGCTTCCAATTATTGGAACCCCCAAATAATCATAACCAAGATTATTGGACCCACCAATAATCTTGGCTAGGATTATTGGACCCCCAATAAGTTGGCCAACCCAACTTATTGGATTGACCAATAATCGTGGTCACCTCCCAACCAAACCCCCCCTCCTACTCCTCACCTATGTATATCCGCTCCTTTCCTAATACAATCAACTACTTTTTCACCTATTCTCACACTCACCACTCATAGACACGCGGCACGGAAGTCCAGCAATCTGCATAACGACGATGGGGAGGAAGGCGTTAGAACAGATTCTCGACTAAGATATCATACACCAAGCAGATGGAAGATCAAGATATGTGTCAGCATACAAGCGCCCAGACATACGAACCCGCTAACATACAAACCCCCTAACATACGAACCCCCCAACATACGAAGCCCCTAACATACGAACCCCCTAACATACGACTCTGCTAACATACGAACCCCCAAACATATGAACCCACTAATATACAAACCCCCTAACATACCAACCCAATAACATACAAACCCCCAAACATACGAACCCCCTGCTATACGAATCCCCTAACATACGAATCCCCTAACATACGAACCCGCTAACATACGAACACCCAAACATACGAACCCCCTAACATACAAACCCCCTACATACGAACCCCCTATTATACGAACCCCCTAACATACAAACCCACTAACACACGAACCCGCCAACATAGGAACCCCCTAACATACGAACACCCAAACATACAAACCACCTAACATACGAACCCCCTAACATACGAACACACAAACATACAAACCCCCTAACATACGAACCCCCTAACATACGAACCCCCTAACATACGAACCCCCTAACACACGAACCCCCTAACATACGAACCCCCTAACATACGAACACCCAAACATATGAACCACCAAACATATGAACCCCCTTAACATACGAACCCCCAAACATACGAACACCCAAACATACGAACCCCCTAACATACGAACCCGCTAACATAGGAACCCGCTCACATACGAACCCGCTAACATAGGAACCCCCTAACATACGAACCCGCTAACATACGAACCCCTTAACATACGAACCCCCTAACATACGAATCCCCTAACATACGAACCCCCTAACATACGAACCCCCTAACATACGAACACCATAACATACGAAGCCCCTAACATACGAAGCCCCTAAACCCCTACGACCCCCCTAACATACGAACACCCTAACATACGAACCCCCTAACATACGAACCACCTAACATACGAACCCCCTAACATACGAACCCCCTAACATACGAACCCGCTAACATGCGAACCCGCTAACATACGAACCCGCTAACATACGAACAACCAAACATACGAACCCCCTAACATACGAACAGCCAAACATACGAACCCCCTAACATACGAACCCCCTAACATACGAACCCCCTAACATACGAACCCCCTAACATACGAACCCCCTAACGTACGAATCCCCGAACATACGAACCCACATACGTGCGAACCCACTTACATACAAATACAAACCCACTAACATACGAACCCACTGACATACGAACCCCCTAACATACGAACCCACTAACCTACGAACCCCTAACATACGAACCCCCTAACATACGAACACACTAACATACGAACCCACTAATATATGAACCCCCTTACATACGAACCCCCTAACATATGAACCCCCTAACATACGAACCCATTGACATACGAACCCCCTAAACATACGAACCCCCTAACATACGAACCCCCTAATATACGAACCCCCTAACATATGATCACCCTAACATACGAACCCCCTGGTGACTTCTGAGTCGACTCTCAAGTCTTCCCCCTTCCCGCAAACCTCCCCCCCTCCCCCCCTCTCCCCCTCCCCCTTCTGACTTTCATTCAACCCCGTCTCCTCCAATGCGGTGAGCGACTCAAAATAGACACTCACTACCCCCCCTCCCCTTCTGCACCCTAGAGCCCGTCTATCAATCACTTCATCCCGTCGTAGAGCCCTCGAGAAGGGTAAGCGAACAAAGAGGCATGCTCGTACCCCACCCCCACTACCCCACCTCCCCCTTTTCACCTTCAATCACTTCATCCCCCCCAATGTGGATCGTAGAGCCCTTGAAGACCGACCGCAGGTCTGCAACCCAGTCGAATGGACAAACCCGTATGATGCCCACAGAGCAAGGATGATGCCAGGGCAAGGCCAGGATGCACAGGAGAACAAGAGACGTGGGATAAGAGTTGCGGAATAAGAGAAGGAGGAATCGAATGAGGGGTTTTTGCAGGCATATGAAGAATGGAAGAAGAATGAGTGGTTAAGAAGAAACCACAGACAGAGAGCGCACTCCTTGCCAACCCCATTGGAACACCGTACAGTCCGTACCTCTGAGCACGCCCTCTACAACTCGAAAGGTGAACTCGTTTGACACATCGAGGGGCTCGGAGCAGTTGACGGCCGGCAGGAGAGAGGGGTAGCCGACACCCCTGGAAGGGACGGAAGTGGGGGAAGGAGAGTAGTGCGAGAAGAGTGTGCGAAGCGTGATCAGTTGACGGGGTGGAAGACAACAACACTGGCATGCAGGAGGGAGAAAAGGGAGAAAGTACGCGGTGGGGGACAGCTTGGGAAAGTCTGACGACGGGGGGAGCTTGGAGTGCAAGCTCACCACGCCCTGGAGTGCAAGCTCACCACGCCCTGGAGTGCAAGCTCACCACGCCCTAGAGTGCAAGCTCACCACGCCCTGGAGTGCAAGCTCACCACGCCCTGGAGTGCAAGCTCACCACGCCCTAGAGTGCAAGCTCACCACGCCCTGGAGTGCAAGCTCACCACGCCCTGGAGTGCAAGCTCACCACGCCCTGGAGTGCAAGCTCACCACGCCCTGGAGTGCAAGCTCACCACGCCCTGGAGTGCAAGCTCACCACGCCCTGGAGTGCAAGCTCACCACGCCCTGGAGTGCAAGCTCACCACGCCCTAGAGTGCAAGCTCACCACGCCCTGGAGTGCAAGCTCACCACGCCCTGGAGTGCAAGCTCACCACGCCCTGGAGTGCAAGCTCACCACGCCCTGGAGTGCAAGCTCACCACGCCCTGGAGTGCAAGCTCACCACGCCCTGGAGTGCAAGCTCACCACGCCCTGGAGTGCAAGCTCACCACGCCCTGGAGTGCAAGCTCACCACGCCCTGGAGTGCAAGCTCACCACGCCCTGGAGTGCAAGCTCACCACGCCCTGGAGTGCAAGCTCACCACGCCCTAGAGTGCAAGCTCACCACGCCCTGGATTGCAAGCTCACCACGCCCTAGAGTGCAAGCTCACCACGCCCTGGAGTGCAAGCTCACCACGCCCTGGAGTGCAAGCTCACCACGCCCTGGAGTGCAAGCTCACCACGCCCTGGAGTGCGAGGGAAGGTCGATTTCAGGAATGACCACAATGCCACGTGCTGCTGCATAGCTGAGAAGCAGTGGAGCGAGAGGGGTAGGTAGGGAGCAGAGAGGAACGAGATCTCAGGCAGGTTATCTACATTAGAACAAAAGAGATGGGAGGTGAATGGCAGGAGAACGGCAGGGGAATGACGGGAGAATGCCAGGGGAATTGCAGGGGGGTGGCAGGGGAATGGCAGGTTACTGGTTTGTTGAATAGCCCTGCGTGTCTTCTGGAGCACATGAGAATGCGCCTCCAGATGGGGGTATCGCTCATGGGGGTATGGCTCATGGGGGTACCGCTCATGGGGGTATGGCTCATGGGGGTACCGCTCATGGGGGTATGGCTCATGGGGGTACCGCTCATGGGGGTATGGCTCATGGGGGTACCGCTCATGGGGGTATGGCTCATGGGGGTACCGCTCATGGGGGTACCGCTCATGGGGGTACCGCTCATGGGGGTATGGCTCATGGGGGTATGGCTCATGGGGGTATGGCTCATGGGGGTACCGCTCATGGGGGTATGGCTCATGGGGGTATGGCTCATGGGGGTATGGCTCATGGGGGTACCGCTCAATGCCACAAGAGGGAACAGAGAGTTCAGCTGGGTCATGTCACCCCAGCCAGAACTCACCCCACTAGGTTGCGCCATGTCCCTCAGGCTGTGTCGCTCGTGCCTACAAGGCGGTAGTCCTGCTAGCAGCATCTACCACTCACCCCACTAGGTGCTTCATGTATCTTGCTGTATCACTCACCCCATTAGGTGGTCCATATCCTGTAGACTGTATCGCTCGCGCTTGGAGAAAGCAGCCATCCAGAGGCCAGTGTAGGAGGGCTGCTAAGCAGCAGCCAGTCACTCACTCCCTCACCCCACACCGACTCACCCCACTAGGTGCCTCATGTCGCTTAGAGTGTATCGCTCGCGCTTGGAGAAAGCAGCCTTCCAGAGGCGAGGGAAGGAGGGCGTTTCGATGGGGAAGGACTGCGAGTCGACCAGGTGCCAGTGGCTGGGGGGAGGGAGGGGGGGGGAGAGGGGGGAGAGTTAATGGAGGAGGGAACAGGTTACGCTGGCGAGGGGAGGAAGGAGTTTCCATGGGGAGGGATTGCGAGTCAACGAGGTGCCTGGGGCTGGGGGAAGGGAGGGGGAGAAGGGGGGGGAGGAATAGAGGAGGTGGGAACAGGTCACGATGGGGACTCAGGTTACGTTTTGAGGCGCCTCAAAACTAGACTTGTATCACGCGGTCACGATGGGGACTCAGGTTATGCTGCCAGGAGGCGAGGGAAGGAGGGCGTTTTGATGGGGAAGGACGATGAGTCCACCAGGTGCCGGTGGCTGGGGGGTGGGAGGATGATGGGGAGAAGAAGGGCAGGGATTAATGGGGGAAGGGGGTAAGGGAGGAAGGGCCAAGGGGGGGAAGGGGGAAAGGAGGGAAGAGGGCAAAGGGGGAAGGGGGAAAGGAGGGAAGAGGGCAAAGGGGGAAGGGGGAAAGGAGGGAAGATGGCAAAGGGGGAAGGGGGAAAGGAGGGAAGAGGGCAAAAGGGGAAGGGGGAAAGGAGGGAAGAGGGAAAGGGGGAAGGGGAATTAAACAGGGGTTAGCATGAAGGGAGGAGGGACTGCGGCGGAAGGGGGGAAAGGGGGAGCTATCTGCAAGGTCTGCCAAAGTCTGTGCAGCACGGGGGTAGGATTTGACTTACAGGCTACAGCACATTGAGCTTGTTTTGAGGCGCTTCAAATCTAGGTGTGCCAAAATGCGCGCACGTGGGTGTATGTGCTGTGCATGGGGGTAAATTCAACTCACAGCACGTTGAGCTTGGCGTACGACATCGAGTCAAGGAGTCGCTCTATAAATGGTACGGGATGGAAGTGCCTTGCGGTGTCTGCAGCACCACGTGGGAAGAGAAGGGGAAGGTATGCGAGCATGCGTACGGGAATAGAGTAAGGGAAAGGTGTGCCCATGTCCAATTTGATCTGCATCAATAAACCATAAATTTATGACTTGGGCACGCTCCGACTTTGCCCTTTATACACTCAAACCCATCCACCATGCACAACCTCTCAACCAGCAGCACCCCTCTCTTACCCAGCAGCACCCCTCGGTGTGGGAATCGCGGCTGGTCGTGAATGAGCAGAGGAACGCCACGCAGCAGCACCAGGCGAGAGGCGGGGTCAAAGCGGCACAGCTGGCTCAAGGTCTGGCGGGCGGGCGAGGGGCGAAAGGGGCGAGAGGGGCGAGCAGGGAGGAGCGAGATGGGCGAGATGGGCGAGATGGGCGAGATGGGCGAGAGGGGCGAGCAGGGAGGAGCGAGATGGGCGAGATGGGCGAGATGGGCGAGATGGGCGAGATGGGCGAGATGGGCGAGAGGGGCGAGCAGGGAGGAGCGAGATGGGCGAGATGGGCGAGATGGGCGAGATGGGCGAGAGGGGCGAGCAGGGAGGAGCGAGATGGGCGAGATGGGCGAGATGGGCGAGATGGGCGAGATGGGCGAGATGGGCGAGATGGGCGAGATGGGCGAGAGGGGCGAGCAGGGAGGAGCGAGATGGGCGAGATGGGCGAGATGGGCGAGATGGGCGAGATGGGCGAGAGGGGCGAGCAGGGAGGAGCGAGATGGGCGAGATGGGCGAGATGGGCGAGATGGGCGAGAGGGGCGAGCAGGGAGGAGCGAGATGGGCGAGATGGGCGAGATGGGCGAGATGGGCGAGATGGGCGAGATGGGCGAGATGGGCGAGATGGGCGAGATGGGCGAGATGGGCGAGATGGGCGAGATGGGCGAGATGGGCGAGATGGGCGAGATGGGCGAGATGGGCGAGATGGCGAGATGGGCGAGATGGGCGAGATGGGCGAGATGGGCGAGATGGGCGAGATGGGCGAGATGGGCGAGATGGGCGAGATGGGCGAGATGGGCGAGATGGGCGAGATGGGCGAGATGGGCGAGATGGGCGAGATGGGCGAGATGGGCGAGATGGGCGAGATGGGCGAGATGGGCGAGATGGGCGAGATGGGCGAGATGGGCGAGATGGGCGAGATGGGCGAGATGGGCGAGATGGGCGAGATGGGCGAGATGGGCGAGATGGGCGAGATGGGCGAGATGGGCGAGATGGGCGAGATGGGCGAGATGGGCGAGATGGGGCGAGATGGGCGAGATGGGCGAGATGGGCGAGATGGGCGAGATGGGCGAGATGGGCGAGATGGGCGAGATGGCGGGGCGAGATGGGCGAGATGGGCGAGATGGGCGAGAGGGGGCGAGCAGGGAGGAGCGAGATGGGCGAGATGGGCGAGATGGGCGAGATGGGCGAGATGGGCGAGATGGGCGAGAGGGGCGAGCAGGGAGGAGCGAGATGGGCGAGATGGGCGAGATGGGCGAGATGGGCGAGAGGGGCGAGCAGGGAGGAGCGAGATGGGCGAGATGGGCGAGATGGGCGAGATGGGCGAGATGGGCGAGATGGGCGAGAGGGGCGAGCAGGGAGGAGCGAGATGGGCGAGATGGGCGAGATGGGCGAGATGGGCGAGATGGGCGAGATGGGCGAGAGGGGCGAGCAGGGAGGAGCGAGATGGGCGAGATGGGCGAGATGGGCGAGATGGGCGAGAGGGGCGAGGCGAGATGGGCGAGATGGGCGAGATGGGCGAGATGGGCGAGATGGGCGAGATGGGCGAGATGGGCGAGATGGGCGAGATGGGCGAGATGGGCGAGATGGGCGAGATGGGGGGGCGAGATGGGCGAGATGGGCGAGATGGGCGAGATGGGGGCGAGATGGGCGAGATGGGCGAGATGGGCGAGATGGGCGAGATGGGCGAGATGGGCGAGATGGGGGGGGCGAGATGGGCGAGATGGGCGAGATGGGCGGAGGATGGGCGAGATGGGCGAGATGGGCGAGATGGGGCGAGATGGGCGAGATGGGCGAGATGGGCGAGATGGGCGAGATGGGCGAGATGGGCGAGATGGGCGAGATGGGGGGGGCGAGATGGGCGAGATGGGCGAGATGGGCGAGATGGGCGAGATGGGGCGAGATGGGCGAGATGGGCGAGATGGGCGAGATGGGCGAGATGGGCGAGATGGGCGAGATGGGCGAGATGGGCGAGATGGGCGAGATGGGCGAGATGGGCGAGATGGGCGAGATGGGGCGAGATGGGCGAGATGGGCGAGATGGGCGAGATGGGCGAGATGGGCGAGATGGGGCGAGATGGGCGAGATGGGCCGAGATGGGCGAGATGGGCGAGATGGGCGAGATGGGCGAGATGGGCGAGATGGGCGAGAGATGGGCGAGATGGGCGAGATGGGCGAGATGGGCGAGATGGGCCGAGATGGGCGAGATGGGCGAGATGGGGCGAGATGGGCGAGATGGGCGAGATGGGCGAGATGGGCGAGATGGGCGAGATGGGGCGAGATGGGCGAGATGGGCGAGATGGGCGAGATGGGCGAGATGGGCGAGATGGGCGAGATGGGGCGAGATGGGCGAGATGGGCGAGATGGGCGAGATGGGCGAGATGGGCGAGATGGGCGAGATGGGCGAGATGGGCGAGGGGGAGGGAGAGGTGCAGGGTGAAGGGACAGGGGGGTGGTGTGGTGGGGAGAGGCTGAGGCAACGAGGGGCGGAGTCAACACCACTAGGTGGGAGCTGCTGCCCAGCGCTTGTGCCAGCGACGCACTGAGACGTACCTTCAGAGCTCTAAGGGCGCTGAGACCAGGGCTTTAAGGGCGCTGAGACATACCTGGAAACCTCGGACACGCTGCTGCCAACACACGTACCCCCAGGGCTCTAAGGGCGCTGAGACCAGGGCTTTAAGGGCGTTGAGACATACCTGGAAACCTCAGACACACTGCTGCCAACACACGTACCTCCAGGGCTCTGAGGGCGCCAGTGGTGGTGTTGGCCTGGAGAATGGGGGGGGGGGTGGGCGGAGAGCAGCGAGAGAGAGCAGGGGAAGTGAGAAGACTCAGAGAGAGGCACAGGACGGACCCCTTATGTGACAAGACCCAGGCTGAGTGAGAAGGCACGGGAAGGGACCCTTTGCATGGGACGAACGAGGAGGGCGAAAGGAACAACAGTTACACAATTGGACAGTTGAACAGTAGAACAGTTGACAAGTTGAACAGTTGATTAGGTGAACAGTTGATGAACAGTTGAATTGTGAACAGTTGACAAGTTGAACAGTTGATTAGGTGAACAGTTGATGAACAGTTGACAAGTTGAACAGTTGATTAGTTGAACAGTTGACAAGTTGAACAGTTGAACAGTTGGACAGTTGGACAGTTGGACAGTTGGACAGTTGGACAGTTGGACAGTTGGACAGTTGGACAGTTGAACAGTTGAACAGTTGAACAGTTGGACAGTTGACAAGTTGAACAGTTGACAAGTTGAACAGTTGATTAGTTGAACAGTTGAACAGTTGAACAGGTGAACAGTTGGACAGTTGGATACTTGCACAGTTGACAGTTGAACAGTTGGACAGTTGGACAGTTGGTTGGACACTTGGACAGTTGAACAGTTGGACAGTTGGGAGGTGCCATATGCCGTGGGCATTGCCAATGCCATTGCCCTTGCCATTGACTCACGTGAATTTCAACTAAACCCTAAACCCTAAACCCTGACTCACGTGAATTTCAATTGTCGCAGACGAATCCCTGCGCATGTCTAGCGCCAGGTGGCCCGCAACTCCCCCCACTGCGAGCGCATAGCTCTCGTCCCCATCCACTTCCAACTGGAGATGGGGGAAGTGGGAGATACGAGGAGGAACAGTGGGAGTTGAGGCGCGTCAATAGCACAGCACCCCCTGCTGGAAGCATATAGCTCTCGTCCTCATCCATTTCCTCCTGGAGGGGGGGGGGAATGGGAGGGGGAGGGATGGGGGATACTCGGAGGGTATAGTGGGAGTTGAGGCGCCTCAACAGCACCCTGCATAGCTCTCGTCCCCACTACCAACTGGAGGGGGGGGAACAGGGGAGGAAGCAAGGGGGGGGGGGGAGAGAGAGAGGGCTGGGACGAGGGGATAGGGGAGGAGGGAATGGTTGGGTGGGGGGGGTAGGGGGGATGGGGTAAGGGGGTTGGTTGGGGGGGTTGGGGGGGTTGGGGGGGTTGAGAGTGGGGGGGTTCAGAAGGGGGGTTTCACTGTGTGCACATCGCACACACCTCTTCCTGTGGCCGAGCGACCACGATGAGAAGAGCGTCGAGCACGCCCACAGCCGCATCTGCTTCGCTCCCACTGCTGCTCCGCCCTGCCCTGCTCTCACTGCCATGTCTAGCGCCGCTGCTGCTGCCATTGCTTAAGCTACTCGCATTGCTCCCACTGACGTCGTCAACGCTGGTTTCCCCTTGCAAACCCCTCTGCAGACTCTCCTGCAGGCCAATCCAGTGCTGCCACGTGGCCAGCACCACCTGCCTCACCCACCAGGAGACAGGCCCACGGCCCACCCGCCCAATCACCTCGCGACACCTGGCAAGTACTGGTGAGCCCGGTGAATCAAACGACGTTTCGCCACCCTCACTGAACGGTCTCAGCTCCCCCCCACGGAGAGACCTCGCGGCAATGTGCAGTGCCCCATTCTCCCCTTCCCCATGGGCGCCCCTCAGCGCCAGCCAGGCGCGGTCACGAGCGAAAGCAGTGGCAAGGAAGCGGTGGAAGGCAGCAGACAGCAGCGCATGGGCTGGCCCATGGGATGACTGGCCTGGAGGTGGTCTATCCCCCTCCTCGCTGTCCCCCCCCTCAGTTCCGCCCTCCCCCCTCCCTGCCAGCACGAGCCTCAGTTGGAGCAAGGGGCTCACAGCGGCCTCTCCCCGCCCCGCTGCTGCTATGTGCGACAGCATGGGCCACACGTGCAGACCTACTTTTCTCCTCAACTCCTCCTCGCTCACTTCTCCTGCTTTCTCACTCACTTCCTCTGCTCTTTCCCCCACTCCCGCTGCTCCCCCACTCACTCCCTCTTCGCTTTTACTGCCTTGACTTACCCGCACTTCCCGTCCCTCCTCTCCATCCCCTCCCCCCTTACCTCCCGCCTCCACCCTCCCCTCACCACTCCCCGCCTCCTCGAGGCTTCTCAGCAGCCGCCCCTTTCTGCCCCTTTCCCCTTCTCTACCCTCCTCCCTCCCTCTCGTCCCCTTCTGCCCCCCCCACCCTCTCCGCTTCATCTTCCTCCCGTCCTGCCCCACCCCTCTCCACTCCTCTGCACCTCGCCTCTTTCTCCTCCCGAGCCCCCTCTTACCGCGTGCAGGCGGGTCCCGCCCGTCTGTCGCCCTCCTCGTCCCTGCCCCCCACCTCGGGTTCACCTTCATCTCCTGCACTCTGCCCGTTCGCCTCGCCTCCACCACCGTCTCCTCTCCTCCTGACTTCGGACTGGACTCAAAAGTCCCCACCCCCTCTCCTCCTTCCTCCGTCTCCATCTGCTCGTCTCCCCCCCCTCTCTTCTTCCCTCTACCATAGCCACCACCACCATCCTCGATACTGACCGCCTCAGTAGCACGCTCAGTCCCATCACCCCACACTGTAGCACCACCATCATAAATAGCCACATCTGGACTAGGCGCATCACCAAATTCCTCATTATAAGCAGGCCCAGTATAAAAACGCTGCTCTTCCATGTCCTCTCCCGCCCTGCCGCTCTCCTTAGATCTGCCCATAGCCTCCGCTCCCTCTCCTCTCCCCGCTCTCTCTCCTCTCTCCACTACCCCTCTACTCTCCAAACCCTCCTTCCCCCCCATCCCCATCCCCATGCCCATGCCCACGCCCACGCCCATGCGCACAGCCGCTCGTGTCCGTGTCAGTGCGTGCCTCCCGTCATCGTCTCTCCCCCACCCAGCCCGCTGAGGCGCGAGAAGCCAGTGCAGGTCCGTGCGCTGGTCGTCCCTCAACCGCTCGCCCGCCTCCGCGTTCTCCGCCTGCTCCTCCCACGCCTCGCGCTGAAGCGCCATGCTCCAACTCGAAAACAGGTCCGCTGCACCTGCTGCCTCAGACGCACCTGCTGCCTCAGACGCACCTGCTGCCTCAGACGCACCTGCTGCCTCAGACGCACCTGCTGTCTCAGACGCACCTGCTGCCTCAGACGCGCCAGAGACAACTGCGGCTGCAGGAGCGGCAGAAAGAGCCTCCTCTTGTGGATCAAGGACCGAGATCCCCTCAGCAGCAGTCGACGCATTTGCCCCGGATTCAGGCCCCATACTGGCGCGTGCGCTGGCTGAATTGGTGAATGGACGGCTGGGATTGGCCAGAGGGAACGACGCTGCCACTGATGACGGCTCGAATCCTGCTGACGTGGCGAGTGAACCTTGTGGCTCCGCCTCCCCCCTTTCCCCATACCCACCCTCAAATGGGTTCCCTCCTGCCCACTCCCCCTCCCCTCCCTCCTCACCCTCCGCTGCTGCATCCCCACCCTCCCCCTCCTCCTCATTCCCCGCCTCCTCCTCCTCCTTCTCCTCCTCCTCCTCTTCTTCCTCCCCTGCATCTTCCTCATCCTCCTCGTCCTCGTCTTCCCCCTCCTCATAACCCTCCTCTTCCTCCTCCTCTTCCTCCTCCTCTTCCCCTTCGCCCTCCTCCCCATATCCCTCCGCTCCCTCTCCCACAACGAGCCTCCCGTCACTACCCGAATCCTCTGGAGCACTGTAATCTGCTGACTCAGCAATATCACCTGCTGACTCATCATCACCAACTCCATCACTTTCTCCTGGTGACAGCGATGGGGCCTCACTCCACCCCTCACTCTCTCCCTCACTCTCCCACTCACTCCCTCCAGACCCATCGCCCTGTAGCTTCCCTTCTCTCTCCTCTCTCCCCCATTGCTTCTCCTCCATTCTCCACTCCTCCCCCCTCTCCTCCGCCTCCCCTTCTTCCGCCCATTTCCACTCCCCCCCCGCCCACCACGGCCCTTTCTCCGCCCGCTCCGCGGAAAGCGCATCAACGCGCGCACGCCACTCCACAAAGAGCAAATCACGCCGAAAATGCCGCCGCCTTTTCCGGCTACCGCCTTCGCTTGGAAAGCCTTGCGCTTTTGCGGGATTCACCGCATAACCCGCGGATCTGTGCAGCCTTTCCGCAAATGGTTCCGCCTCCGCCTCCAGCCATGGCGTTTCTTGTGCGTGCCTTTGGAAGTCCCGCGAATAATGAGGGGGGGAGGAGCTCCGCTTGTTAGTAGCACGATAGCGGAGCCGGATGTCAAGCCCGGAATGGGGGGGAAAGCGCACGAGCGTAAAGAGGCCGAATAAGGCGGCGGAAAGGAGCAGAAGGCGGCGGGGAGTTGGAGAGAAGGCGGGAGGCTCTCCGCGAGCTCCGAAAAGCCCGCGGAATCGACGGACGGCGTTACCCGCTATTCTCGGTGAGTTCTGGCCACGCATTAGGTCAAAAATAAGGGATCATAGGGCAAAGAAGCCAGGATGGTAAAACAAAAACTTTATTAATTTATTGTTTTCGCTTGAGAAACGTGTCAGAATGGCCGAGTTGGTCTAAGGCGCCAGTTTCAGGTACTGGTCCGAAAGGGCATGGGTTCGAATCCCATTTCTGACAGGGTTTTTCTCCTTTCACGTGAGTACAGTGGTCACCTTAGCCAACCAACACACTTATCAATTTCCCCTTACATGTGCAATAATTCTTGTGTATTTGTATTCCGTGTTCCGTTGAGCTCTGTATCGAGCCGACTCAACACCATCCGAGGGAGAGTTGAGCCTAACACGTGTAACCTGCCGAAAATATCGACCACCCTGTGTGCGACAATTGGAAGACTCGAGAACCCACTTTTGTCGGAGTCATTTTGGAGCGCAGATATTTTCCAGCAGGAAATATCTCAGTCTGCGGAATGGTCGCGATTCTGCGCGAGAAATCCAGGCGAAACAGAACGGACCAGGCAGGCAACCACCTCGGGAGCTGCGCGAACGTTCCTGGCGAAGAATTAACTGATAGCCGCAACTCGTTGGGTTCAACGACAGCTGGTTACATAACGGTGATTGGTGCACGGGCTTCGCAGCATTGTTGCACAATCCCCCAAAATAGAACATTCACGAAGCTAAGAAACTGTTGCAGCCATGGCTGCTCTCGTCACCTCGCCCCTGATCTGACCGAATACGAGCTGGAAGGGTACAGGGGAGCTGTCCACCAGAGACGCGAATGCATCCGCTACGGCTTCCAGACCCATCCCCAGGTTGACATGCCACGTCCTCGTTCTTCCCATCGTCCCCTGGTTGCTCTGCTGAATGGCTGCCTTCTAGGAGCTTCTCTCTCGCGAGCACCTCGATTACCGGCGAATGAGAGGACTCGCTAACAGCATGGATACTAATGTTAGAGCAGATACTCAGAGCTGCTCTTGCCAACCCGCGCGTCTAAGATATTTTCACCCACAGCGATAAAGAGCTACTGTTCTCATTCTGCTACCTTCAGAGCTTGGACCATTATCCTACACCCTGATGACACCATTTTCCTTATGACACTAGCAGCTTCGCACTGATTCTATCAGCCAGCTAGTAGGTGCCTCTCGAGCGTCGCTCCGCGGGGTCCGCTGCAAGCTAAGTCTGGTACTCTGATTCTCCTGCGTGCCGCCAACCTAGCCGTTATGGGTTGCGTTCGCACCATGAAGCTCCGGAAACCCCACCGGTCCGAACCGTACGATGTTCATTCGACTTTCCAACCAGGCTTTCATTCAAACTCAGCCTTCCAGCCAGGCTCCGAGCGATCCCCACCGTCCGTCTCCAGCGATCCTGTTTTCGTCAACATTGAGTGGGAAATCCTCGATAAAGGAGGCCCCGCGTTATCCAGTCCAATGTGGATTGTAGCGGATACTGCTGACGCCTACGTGTTTTCCGTAGAGCAGCGGGGGTTTCCTCTGGAGCACGTGCAGGTTTCGCTGGATCGAAGCGGCGCGAGCCAGGAATCCAGCGAGTTTCGTCTACATGCTCAGAGTGAATGTATCGGTAGTAGCCGTTCGTACCAGCAGCAGAATGACTCGGTACACCGTTTGTCTCAATCCGGCTCGAGTTCAGCCGACATTGGATCGGCCCTGCTCACCATCGTCTGCCGGTTTCAATCTGCTCCCCAATCTCCAGACGGAAACGTTTTCCGTCAGCGTCAACTTCAGAGCCAGCGCCTGCAGCCATTCACGGTGACGGATTCCGTCCAGACGACCGGCCGGCGGTTCAAGCTGCCAGCTGACGCCATCGCGGAGAGCACCACGGCGGTTCACACGGAGACGGGATCTCTGGTGGTGAATGTCCCGCGCTCTCCGCAGCGACCTCCCCGCGCTTCGTGGTTGTCAGCCGCTCCTTGCCATCTCTCTGAAGCGCACCCTTTTGTGAGATTCGGACGGTGGAGTGTGAACGTGGCGTCAACGCCAGCTTCAAGCTTCTTGTCATCATCACCGTCACTGTCAGCGCCACCCTCACTGTCATCCTCCTCCTCCCTCTCCTCATCACCATCACCATCACCATCGCCGTCCTTCTCTTCCCCTACATCGATTTCCTCGTTTTGGGCCCCACCCAGGCACTCTCAGTCTCCTGGTGCCTTGGCTCCTAGTTTGTTCCCAGATCTACAGGCATCAGGCAGTGCAGCAACAGAATGTTGCTGCAGTGTTCAAACAGACTCCTCTTGGTCATTCCCTCAACAACGGCACCATCAGTGTATGGGGCTATGTACAGGTCATTGGTCTGTGCATGGCTTTTCTGGCGAGCCAGCTACTGATGCCATGCAAGTCTCCTAGGAAGGTTCAGGCACTGTTATGCCTCGAAATGCTTTTCAAGTTAGCCTTCATACATACTGATGTATATCTCGGAATTTAGTGTACTTATTCTTTCACTTAGCTCCATGGGAGTAATGGCGTGTCCCAACCCAAGAATACGTCTCACAGAATCTGAATGAGGTGGAGTATGTGTCAACTTATACATGTCATGCATGTAGAAGTTGTTGGAAATATCTCAAGGACTTAAGCGTTTCTGAAGTGTAACACTGTACTCGAGGAAGATTACAGGGGAGCACGCGAGTCAACGGAGGTTACACGAGGGGGCGGACAAAGAATGCGAAAGGACTCGAAAGGTCGCAACTGGAGGTTGCGACTGACCGTTACAACATCACGGATGGTAACCGAAGCGGCAATCGAGTCGCTGTGCGACTCGATAAACCGTTCCTGTAACTGTATTCTACAACTGCTTTCTTATCTACTATATATTGCTGTATGCTTGTTTCTTTAATCAATCACTTGTTCTCACATACTAGTACAAGGGTTCAACTGCCTCAACTTCCGCTGCACTACTCCAAGTCTCAAGTCTCTACAGCTGGGACTTAGTCTCTGCAAAAGATCCTAAGGGCTTTTCTCAGCTCAACATGGTATGAGAGCTGGTCAGACACCAAACTCCCAGCAACTACGTCCTATCAACAACCTGCAACTCAACTCAATTCAACGACTTCATTGATTACAAGACATGGACAACAAGGGCAAGAAAGTCTCTACGGGCTCACCCAGCGTCCAAGAAACTCAACACGGCAACTCTGGTCTGCACACCTCAGGACTGCAGACAGAGACCGGGACTGCTCAAGAAACAACGGGAAGAGTACCAGAGATGGTGACCCCGTCTCCCTCTTCAAGTGTGGACCCGAATCTCATGGAGAGATTCTTCAGCTTCATGTCACACTTCGATCAGCAGCAGCAGACAAGGACACCTGCGCACTCAACACAGAGCAATGGAGGGAATATGGGATTAGCGCCGATGAGCCTCGACAACTCATCCTTCGGGCGACACAATCAAGCGCCTACCTTTGCGCCTTATCATTCTTCGCCGGGGACGTTCGAATTCATGCCGCCCCGTGCCCAGCCAACAGCAGCTGCTTCACAACAAACACCGAATGAAATCTTAAGTTTACAGGCGCAGTTCTCACACGTGATCAAACTTCAGACATCCTCACCGTTCAACGGACACGACTTCTTTACCTGGAGCTTCGAGTTCGAGCTGCTGATGGAGGCCGCGCATCTTCTGGGATACTTCAACGGGTCCCTGCCATTCCCAAGCAACGGCACTGGGAAGGAACAAGAGATCTTCACGTATCAGTCGCTGCTGGCGTACACGGTACTCCTGAGAAACCTGTCACCACAAGAGCAGCAGAGCATCAGAACGTATCGGAGTTATGGAAACTCCGCGGAGCTCGCATGGCACCACCTCAAATGCCTTTACCAAGCAAACGACAGCGTGACACAAAGCAGACTCATGCAACAGCTGACAACAATACAGATGAAGACCAGGGAAAAGGCGATGCAGTATATGAGTCGCTGCCAGACCCTCCGCGACCGCCTGCTTCGGTGCGGAGGAACGATCACTGAAGAAAGCTTCGTGACACTTGTCCTCGCCGGGCTCGGGCCAGAATGGAGAACCACACGATCACTTCTTCGAGCCCACGGAAGAATTTCGGAGATGCACCTCTGCGCCGAGCTTCACGCTGAACAACAGGAGATGGATCTGTTCGAGGAAAGACAACCAAGGAAGCAACAGCAGTTAGTCTTCTACACTCAAAGAAGAAATGACAACAACTACAACCGACGCAGCAAGCAAGATCAACGCGACAACCGAGGACTCACCATCGTGCCGCCGTTCTGCCACAACTGTCAGACTTCCGGGCACTCCAAGGTCAACTGCAACCGCCCTCGCGTTTACCGTGCAGCAGACCCACAAGTCGCTTCCACTCAAGCAAGTCCTCCAAGGCGCTCTTCAACATCTGCACAACAAACACCCAACATCATCAACTGCATGGTACACATCGACAACTGCGCACCCGCTTCACCACCCACTTACGCACCAGACGAAGAGGAATTCCCGCCGCCGCGCTCGCAAGGACTTCAGGTCAACCCGACATACGCTGCAGTCGCTAACGCCGAACCCACCGGGCGGAACACCTGGTTCTTGGACAGTTGCTGCGGTCAGCACATGTGCTCCTCCGGACGCTTCGTACAACACGAGCGACGCCTCAACCGTGACGTCGTCATCACCGTCGCCAACAACGAAAACCTGAAAACAAATAGACAAGGCGTGGTTCAGTTACAATCAATGGAGACAAACGTTATTCTTCAGCTCAACAAGGTCCTCATCGTCGACAATCTGGGATACAACCTATTAAGCGTAAGCCAACTAATGGCTAAGGGGATTCACCTGGAGTGCGACTCCTTCTCCAACGAGTTCCGACTTTACCACGGGAAGGGCGGTCTCTTCATCGGTCGTGCCCTCCTGAAGTCCGGTGTCTTCGTGTTGGACTTCGTCCCCGACCGCGGAACTGCCGACAGCGACAGTATCGTATCCTTCGCCGCCTGGACTCATCCGCCAGATCTTGATCCCGACTTCGACAGCGACGGCTTCTGGCACTCCAACACCATACCTGCTGCAGAAAGAACACGAGCATTAGCAGTTATCAGACAAGAAAGACAAGTACCCGCATGTGTCCCAACAAAACCATCACCTGCAGTATCGGCAGCAGGACCCAGCCGAGTACCACCACCAGCGACACGAGGACAGCCAACCGAAGCAGACCAACTTATGCCCGCCACACGAGAAGCTTGTCGAAGTCCCGCCTCGGTCGTCGCGTTCTTCTCCAACGCCGACATCTACCACCGCTCGCCCGGTCACCGCGCTCCCGACGACATCTGGCACCAACGTCTCGGACATCCTGCAAACAGCACGATACTTCAAACAATCCAAGCAGAAGTGTTAGAACGCAACGCCCTTCTGACGACGAGCGGCCAGGAACTCCGACGACCACGCGCACGGTGTTTCACATGCCCCGAAGCAGATCTTCCTCATCAACCTTTCCCAGCCCATCACAATCCAAGCGCACCCACTTACGCTCCGATGGAAAAGGTCTACAGCGATATTCTAAACATGCCTCGAGACGACACCGAAGCCGACTTCAACTACGTCATCACGTTCATCGACGCCGCAACCAGATACGTCTGGCACTTCAATCTCAAAACGCGCGATCAAGCCTTCGAGGCCTTCACCACATGGCTTCCAATCGCCGAACGAGAGTCAGGAACCAAACTCAAGAGTTTCCAGTCAGACGGTGCACTGGAATACCAGTCACAACGCTTCAGGACCTATCTCGCGGAAAGGGGAATCCGACGCCTGGTGTCTCTGCCCTATGCTCACCAGCAGCAGGGGGTAGCAGAACGCATGAACCGGACCTTGCAGACGACGATGCGAAAACTGCTTCTGGGGATGAGGCTGCCCAACGCACTGTGGCCAGACGCGATGACACATGCAGTCCACCTGCACAACCTGTTGTCCTCGTCATCGCTCCCCAACAACGCATCACCACACCTGCTGTGGACGGGAAAAAGGGGCAGCACAAAATTACTTCGAGTTTTCGGCTGCATGGTACAATACAGACCCCACACAGCTCGAGCAGGACGCTTCACTCAACGAGCTCGGTGGGGACTACACCTCGGCATCGCCAAACATTTTCACGCGTGGAAGATCCTCGACATACAAGACAAAAATACGGTGGCATCACGTGATGTTATCTTCTACGAGCGACTGACGCTGCAGCATTACCTGGACAACATTGCCAACTCAGACGACCCCACCGACGGCTTCGCGGGCCTTCGCTCCTTCGCTGACCATGCTGCCGAGGCTGACGCAGCAGAAGAAGACGTACCTGGAGCCTCGGAAGCTGCCGGGCCACTCCCATTCTGTTCCATACCTGTTCCACTCGATGAAGATAATCCCCTCGATAGCAACAACCTCGACACCTTTTACCACTTCGCCGACCAAGGTTACGCTACACCGCACCCCGTCGACACGAATATTTCGGAACGCATCGGCCCCAATTTCTTACCTGACCCCGAAGACGGTGACGAAGCAGCTTATTCGGGGAATGACAATTCCCCTCGACACACACCCACGGGACTCCAGATTCTAGGCCTCTGGGTCTCCGTCCAGCATCCGCCGCCGCCTTCTACGCGTGAGCCTTCAACCTTGTCGCAGGCTCTGGGGGGGGAACATAAGGCAAAATGGAAAGAAGCGATGGAAAAGGAGTTAAAAGCTCTGCAAGACCGAGAAACATGGAAACTGGTACCTGCAACGAGCATCAACGGGAAGAACGTTCTCTCGGGGAAATGGGTGTACCGCATCAAGACCAACTCAGACGGCTCCATCGAACGATTCAAAGCTCGATGGGTCGTACGAGGCTTCGATCAACGATACGGAACCGACTACACAGAAACCTTCGCCCCAGTCTCCCGTCACACCTCATTACGCATCCTACTCGCCGTCGCGGCCACAAAAACACTACCACTACGCCAAATCGATGTCGCGAATGCGTTCCTATACGCACCTGTGGACGCTGAGATCTTCGTCGAACAACCCCACGGATTCATCGACGACCCCACGAAAATATGCCGACTGACAAAATCCCTATACGGGATCAAGCAAGCCCCGCGGCTCTGGCAGCAGCATCTTCACAGCCGTCTCGTAAAAATCGGCTTCCTACAGCTGCCGCATGACCAAGGGATGTACCGACTGCAGAAGGGAAGAGAGTATGTTCTGCTCATCGTCTACGTCGACGACCTGCTCTACATCGGCTCAACTACCGACATCGCCACCTGGTTCGAAGGGGAGCTGAAAGAAGATTTAACTCTCACGGTGTCCGACGAAGTTACGCAGTACCTAGGACTGAACGTCGTCGAAGACGACACGGCGTTCTACCTACACGCTGGAAAGTACTCAAGCACCGTCGCGAAGAAATTCGCTCTAACACCGACTGCGGTCCCAACTCCCTACCGCTACGGGAACAACGGCAGCGCCTCT